AAATAGTGTTATTTATATTTTCAATTTCCAAGTTTACATTGATTCAGAAACTCATTTTTTAAAAACATGTACATGCAGAAAGGTTTGCAGTTTATTTCAATGTTTTATGAAATATGTTTTCTCGGCTTGTCAAGAAATTTACAATCTACATTAACTTTTAGAGTTTACATTGATTTAGGAAGGAAAAAAAACTTTTGAAAAAAAAGAAAGATTGTAAACTTTTGAAAAAAAAGAAAGAAAGAGAGAGGAAGGCGTCTTTAAATCAAAATTCAATGCTAATATTCGACTGATATTTAAAAAAAGTTTTTTTTAGAGGGTCACTAGCAGCAAACTTTTCTAGGATTAGATTAGTAAGAATTCGTTTCCTCGGATACCTTGAGATCTAGAAAAATCTTGCAAAAACTTCACTCTTTAAAAATTTGCTTTCCAGCCTCTCCTTTACAGTATAGGTTTATCAGATTCTTTATATCTTTTTGGTCAATGTGTGCCTATTTGTTAAACATACACATATTTATTTAAAATGCAAACTGCTATCTACTTTTATAAATTTTTCTATTTTTGCAATCTGCAAGTAACTATTTTTAATTACACTAACTACAAAATTCTAATAAAGATAACAAATGGAGTATATTTTTAAAGGCCTGTTTCCATTAATGCATTTTTCCAATCAGTGAGCAAGTTCACTTTGATTGACATCTACAATCCAGTTGGTGTGTGGTGACGGATGAGGAATGGATGAAGTTCAGTGATGTTCAACTTCTATCCCTATGTCTGCAGAAACGTTGGGGATCCCGTGGTAAAAAGGGAGCAATCAGGTATTGTCACTGAAAAGTAATGGCAACAGAAGTAGCAATTGAACGCTGGATCAGGAAAGGAATGTTTTTCTAAAAATACTTATTTCTGAATTAAGCAAGGAATCTGTATGATGAAAAAGACAGCAATCAATTGAATTTAGTTAAAAAAAAAAAAAAAAAATAACTGCAGCTACAGTACCAGTTCGCAGACAGCAGTAATCACTGCTGATTAAAAAAAATCAGGTACAAAAAATATAATTCCAAGTCTATGAAACAACAAAATTTGTCCAGAAAATTTCCTAGTTCTGCATACAAATTTAATCTTAATGAAAATGAATATCTGACTATATCAAACTGTTAGCAAATCTGATAAAAGATTTTTTTCTTTTAAAACAGGTAAAAACTAATAACATTATTTATAAATCAAATTTGATAGCCTTTTAAATATTCTACTACATTAAACGAAAGTTAAATTTGCATTTCTCTAACTTGTGCTCCAAGTTAAATTTGTATTTCTTTATTTATAAATATACCTTTCTCGCTAAAATATTTGTAAGCACATCTTTCACTTAGAATATATTTTTAGCAGTCTAACTTCAATCGGAACACCACTTTAAAATTATATTTTCATAAGAAATGCCCTAAAAACTGAAGAACAAACTCTGGTGAATTTTGTAGACGATAGCACACTGAAATAGAAACAAAAAGTTTTAGTTTTAAGAATTCATTTACTTGATGTTAGCCAAAACTACTAATCACATCTGTGTGATGATAGTATAGTGGTTAAGCTGATGATAGCGGGATTTGACTTTTGGGGTCGTGAATTCGAATCCCATACTCTTTTTCCACTCTAACTTTTTTAGCTCCATGTTAAAATTTGATCTATGTTTGTGCTTTATAATTTATTTCTATTACTATGTGCATTAAATATAATGTTTCATTTATGCTCTTATTTATTTAAATTTCCACCGCAAGAATTTATTTTGAAAGTTATAATATATGAATTTAAAGCATACTCTCTTTATATATATAAATGTAATAATTTCAGGAGCAGGAATTTTGATTTCATAGAAGATTTCAATCATATTTCTTATAAGTAAGTTGGCATATGGGTACAGTCTATTTCTATGACACAGCATTAACTATTAAGACAATCTCATGTTTGTCAGCAAAAGCGTTCAGCTGTTTCAAAATCCGACAATCATTAAAAAATGCTGACATTTATATTTATAAAATTTCAAGATATAAGAAGACACTGAATTAATATGCATAATTCTGATTTGAAATGCTACACAGGCTTTCTATAGTTATGAATCGTTTTATGCATCCTGAGCTTTGTTGGATAAATTTGAATTGAAATTTTATAACAAAAAAACTACAAGAAATATTTTATACCACCTAATAACAATACATTAACTGATTTAGTATTGATGTTAACCCCGATTTTACTCTCTGAATATCACTGAAATACATATACACCATATTGCTAGACATAATCAATATTCAGCAAGCTATCTTTGCTTTTGTGAATGATGTAGGCATTTTCACTAAAGACTTGTAATTAACTGATGATTAGATATTTAACACAGATCCCACCTTAGCGTAGAAATTCATTAAAGACAAACACTTCAAAATGAATTAAAAGCACTATTCAGGCTGTCAATTCAATAAAAATCCTGCACGATTACACTTACTATCAGTTTATTACTATCGTTTATCATATTTTCTGAACATATATTATAGTTTGAACCTATTTAACAGAAGGAAATGTTTCCAGTAAATAATAAATTATTGCTTTTAAATTAAGAAAAATGGATAAACAAGAATTGAAAACAATTATCAGAGATTATTTTAAAAGTACTCCAAATTATGCATTTTTTCCCATAGACTCCTCGTCTTTCTTATAAAAATCAAGTTCATACCCCCAAGGGAAAGAACCTGGTTAGAGTTGACTTTACCCCTTGTATTATCACGAAATTGTTGTTTCATTTATGACAACCTGAGTAGTTGAATGCTACGGAAACCTTATTATGATGTAACTGGTTGCGATGAATTGGAATCGTGTGAAAAAAATCTGGAAAGTGTGCGTCAGATTTTGGATAAGGGCTTGTGTGTGATGAATTAGTATGTTGTTATTTTGTGGTTTACATGGTAAATTGGCTGAATGTGGTAAGATTAATTTCAAGTTTCTGTAAGATTTGGAACAAAAGGGAAAAAGCATTAATTGACTGGTGTGTAAATGAAGGTTTACTTAGTAGCCATTATTAAGTGTCCTGTTTGGAGGAAGGAATTGCGTATGGTCGAACATCGGATATTTTTTACACTTATTTTTGTGAATTTATGTGCCGACCAAGTATACATAAGCTAGTTCAGATAATTTTGGGAAGTGTTTGGATGCTGCTAAGAAATTGTGTTTGACTGAAGACTCGTAAATTCGTAAATAAGGTAAGTGGATATTTTCTTCGTGTAGTGCTAAGATTGATTTTCCTTTTTTATGTTATTTTATTGTTTGATTTAAAATGTAGTTTATACAGATTATATATTTTTTTGTTTTGCTTCTTTGACTTTTTAAGTGAATATGGTTTCGATATGTACATGGACAAAGTCAAGGGAGTGCGCAAAGCTTAGTTTGTGAAATTCTCCAATTTTTTAAGTGAAAATAGGTCGATGTGTACATGGATAAAGTCAAGAGAGTGCGCAATGCCATTTTTGTGCAATTCTGGGATTTTGTTTTAAAAGTGAAAATAGGTCGATGTATACATGCATACCGAATTTGTGCAATTCTTTGTCTTGTTATTTTGGCTTTGTGTAGCTGCAATTTTTGCCCTAAAAATTTCCACTATGCAAGCCAAAATAATAAGTCAAAGAATTGCACAAACTCTGTATCCATATACCGCCAAAAATCGCCAAGGGGTACCCTAAAATATACTTTTACCGAGAACCTTATTTCTAAATATTTTAGAAATTATATCTATATATTTAAAATATAGGCAATTTTTTTTATAATAGTATCTTCAAATTAAGGGTATCAATCATTATGCTCAAATATAAATGTGAAAGTACTAGTATGTATGTTTATGTAGCAACCGAGTGGTAGACAGACATTTTCTTGCTTGTTCTAATTTTTTTTCACCTTGCTTTAGTTCACCTAGGTATCTTTACCTGAATAAAATTACCTATTCTTTCAAATACATATTTTTCTGATAAAGGTCAGTTTGAAAATGCCTGAAAGCTTAAACTCTATCACTCAATAACGAGATGTATATCCTGACATTCTGATCAGACTTATCACTCAGAAAATAAACCATATAAGTTTCCAAACCCTCAAATTTAGATTAAATAATTTTAGTTAAAAGTATTCCTGCCAAAATGTAATCACTTGAAATTTACAATGAACATTATACCCTCAAAATTCACTGCTATGCCACTCTTCCATATCCAGTATAACAACAAATTTTTCTCTTCCTTTAGAGAATTTAGTTGATTTTTTAATTTACTATACTGTAAAAGTATTTAATGTCCATATAGTGATTAAGTACTTTATTATTTGCTAAACAATTACAAATACTTCAAAGTATAATAATCGGATTTCTAAAGACAGTACAAAGTCCAAAAACTGGAATGATCCAATATCCAGACCTCCAGCTTCAAAAAAAAAAAAAAAAAAAAAAAAAAAAAAAAATTCAAAATCTATAAATGGAGGATCTAATACTCAACAAAAAGAGGAAGGTGTTTATAAATGCAGTTTTTTTAGACCGAGATTCCTGCATGTCATTTTCAAACACCTGCTGGTTAGGAAGTCACCCAGTAGCCAACAACAATACATTAAATGATTTAGTATTGATGTTAATCACAATTTTACTTTCTGAACATGAGTGGTTATAGGGCAGCTATGTATCTTGATGCACAGTGCAGTCTTTTCAAGTCCTAGTTTCTGCTGTCTTGTACCTCCCTAAATTCTAAACATCTTGCTGCTTGATTGCTTTTCTAACTTCTAAAATTGTTGCTATGTGGTACAGCTGCACTTGCTCTGGCACCAGCTCTGCTAGTGAGTCAGCATTCTTTAGCATGACAAGCAATAAGGGAATATGACATGCATACATTTCATCTACTAGATTGAAACTGATGATCTGGAATTGCCGAAATCTCAACTATTCCGGATCTTGGACTTTGTAATGCATTAATATTTAAGACCAAAAATACAACTTACTGGTATGTAATATAACCAATAATAACAACAAGCTGAAGACCCATAAATATAAAGAAATAAGATGCAGAAAGGCAACTAGGAGTCTGAACAACTGGACAAGGTCCCTAAAATTAAAAAATAAAATTGACCAAACAATTCTATATTAAAACCAATAATCATGAAAAAATTCTATTAAAATATTTCACAAATTAGAATGCAGATTTTATATACTAATACACTTGATATTATCAATATGAATTCCAAACTTTATATTCCACACTGGCTATGATAAATTACTTATTATGGTAGAGCACTCAAGGATATTTGCTTTATAGTTTTCCCTTCCGGAGAACTTTGTACAATATCTAAGAATCAGATCCTATAAAAAAGATTATCTGTTCTGTTTATAACATTTGCAACTATATTTTGCTAAGCATGATTCTTTGAAAGTAATGCAAGAATGCATATATGATACACTACAGTACCAAATCATGATTTTTAAGTTACTAATCAATATAGTAATTGGACGATCAGTTTGCATTAAAAAGACAAAACTAGAATAATTAAAAATAAAGAAATTAATAATTTGGATTACATAAACTCAATGCTATAAGGGTTTACTAGAGCATTTAAGAAACATTACACATGTCCAGAAAGATGGACAAAGACTTAACCTCCATCATGACAATGCTCTGTGTTACACATCATTCTGTTATAAGAAATTCCCATATTCGGAGGATCTAGGACCATTCAACATGATTCTTTGCCAAGGCAAACTAAAGATGGCAAATGACTATTAAGGGCAACTATTTTTAATCAGTTCATGAGATTAACTCATGATTGACTCATGATTTCATGATAAGACATTTATAACAGGATTTCTAAAACTGCTTCAGAAAATGGTAACTGGATAAATATGTATGAAGTGAACAGGAAGTATTTTGAAGAATATTAGAAATTTATTATTATTTAATTATTTTTAAAGTAAATTTTGTATTTTCTGATCGTATTATATATTTTCAAAAATATTACATATATGATATTTAATGTATTTAATGTTTAGAAGTTAACATTATTAACAAAGCAGTAGGCATTATGGTTTCCATTAAAAGGCAAAATTAGAATATTTATATGTAACAGAAAACTTAATCAAGTTTAAAAAGTAAGTGACTTTTAATTATTTTTAACAAAGATACATAGCTTAATTAATAGACATTTTAAATGCTAAAAAGATTACTTGAGAAGCAAGCTATTATATTAATTTTCAAAAATAATTTTTAAATAGAAAATGGAACAAGAAATTCTAAAATTTTTATTTGAATTTATATTGCAGTACTTAACAGAAAATGATAAATCACCTTAAATTTTACTTGAAAAGCAGCAAGCTCTTTCTTGACTTCATTTAAAGTGTTCTTTGCTTCTTCAAAAACAAGACCCTGTTCATATGTAATTCCACCACTTGGTTTTACCTGCTCACTTTGTTTGGCTATTATGGTTCCAGTTCGTTGATGTATGTCGGTCAAGTAGGACCTAAAAATAAAGTCATGGAATTTTTCTTAAAAAATCATAATGATTTATCTAAATAAATTATTTGTAGTAAATGTAGGAACTTATGAAATTCTGGGAAATAAAATTGTAGATTATAAGCTGTTAAAAAGAAAAGGAATAATCATTTTCTTGTTAATCACTAAACAGTATTTTATATGATTATTAAAATAGTTATCACAGTTAATATATGAATACATACTCTAAATGATTTAATTGCTGTCACAGTATGGAACCAAGAACTTATCTGAAAGCATATGCTCAAAGTATAACACTGACAAGAAAATAAATTTAAAATAAATAATTTTTTAAAAACTAGACATTTTAACACCTCTAAATCAAATCGGAATAAAAGAATAAAAACATGCACTAGTTTTAGACTATTATTATTATTATTATTAACAAGACATTCATAGGCAACAGCATAAATTTTAAATGGAAAAAAAAAAAAAAAAAAAAAAAAAAAAGAATTGCTCTAAACAAACAAAAACTGAAACTTGAATAATAACATGCAATTTTTATAAACTGCTGTGATTATTAACATATTTCATAACATTAAATTTAACACAAAAGAGTGTATAAATTATTCTAGACAATGTTTTAGTTTGATTTTATTACATTTTTGATCACATACTAATGTTACATATGGTATGAGGTTTTAATTTGAACACAGAAGAGGATTTATTTTGAAATACACTTCACAAATAAAATATAATAAAAATCACATGCTGACATCACATGACTTCTTTGAACAGCCAGCTAAATTATACACAATTTTTGCTGCACTTTATTTAAATTTATTTCCTCCAATTATTCTAGCTTAATTAATTGATCCCTCAATGCAAGTTGAAAATTGCACTGCTTGACATTGAAAATGCAACACCAAGAAGGAGCGGTCAAAAAGTGATGCAATTTAAAAAAAAAAAAAAAAAAAAAAAAGACAGCAAGCAGCGATAAGTCACCTGCATTTCAAAATGATAGTCAGAATACAGAAAATTGCGTTGGCTCAGTAGGATGTAGGACCACCGCGGACAGTGATGCACGAAAAAACACGTTTACGCATAGAATCAATAAGAGTGAGGATGGTGTCCTGAGGGATGGCTCTCCATTCCCTTTCAACTATTTGCCACAGTTCGTCGTCTGAAAAAGGCAGGGGCAGAGTCTTCAAACGGCGCCCAATCATATCCCACACGTTTAATTGGTGACAGGTCAGGAAAGCATCTGTATACCTTGCAGAGCATGTTGGCAGATGTGAGCACTGTGTGGTCGGACATTATCCTGCTGAAACATTGCATTAGGCAGCCCCTGAAGGTAGGGGATTGCAACCGGCTGCAGTACATTATCCAAGTATCGTTGGGCCCTCATAGTGCCCTGAATACAAATTAGAGGTGACCTGGAATCGTAGGCAATAGCACCCAAACCATTATGTGACGCTGTCGCATGGTGGGGGCGTTTCACAATTACTGCCGGATTAGATCAGTCTCCACGTCGACACCACACCCGTACGCGGCGACTGTCACTGGATAAACAGAAACCTGACTCATATGAGAACACGACGTTTTACCATTCTGTCATCCAAATTGCTCCAGTCCAGCACCATTTTAAACATTGGCATCTATGCTGTGAAGTCAATGGCAGTCTTCTTAACAGACGCTGTGAGTGCAAGCCACGTTCAACCAATCGATGGGAAATAGTTCTGGTCAACACGGGAACATTCAAGGTATCTTGCACATGCTGCAGAATCGTGATACAAGCGACTTGTGGGACCGCCACAGCTTGTCAGCGGATGCGTCAACCCACGCATGCTGACGTCATTCTCGCTGCACCTGCACCCTCCTTCTTCCAACCATGTTTGCCATAGCCAATGCATCGTGCTCGTATCCACGTGGGTATCAGCTGCGATTTGACGCAAAGACCAACCCGCCCTTCTCAGTCTGATTACCATAACCCTTGTAAAACCGTCTATCTGCTGGAAGTGCCTTCGTTGACAGTGGCCTGGCATTGTTTTCTATTACACGTATCCTCCGGGACAAAACCCAACTTTCTTCAATAATTCGTCTGGCAGAAATAACGACACAAATATTGCCCATTCTGCACGTTCCTTCCCTTATATCTTACTTCACGTGTATCGGAGAGCTACACATTTCACATCATTCGCATAACTCAGTGATGTGCGTCTACTCTAAAATTTGCATACATTTCTGACCACTCCTTCTTGGTGTTGCATTTTCAATGTCGAGCAGTGTATATTAAAAACTGCAAATCTGGAAATCAAATATTCAGGTCAATATTTGTCATATGGAAGTTAAACTTCTTATAAATTTATTTTTTCATAACAAGTGTTAAAACTTTTTCAAATATAAATATAAAAACCAGGAGACTGCATTAAAAATTAGATTTCATTATCAGTCTAAAGTAAGTTTTTAAAAAAAATTTGATATTGCGAAAACATGAATATTTTCACGATTTAAAACATCTGTATAACTGGAAGTATATGACTACGACCAACAATTCTGAAAATAAAAGCCAGGTAAGGTGTATGTATATACAGACAAAAGTCGTTAATTAGGACACCCATAATCCGGACCTCAAAGCTAAAAACTTTTTGTGCACGCACCGCGTTGACACATGCGCATAAGCGTTTACGCGTAAGACCTTTACGACTGCGCATATGCGTGTGCGCAAGTGCAGAATACTTTTCGCGTGCGCCTTTAATGTATAACGGACGGTATAAGCTAAAATTATCTATTTCAGTTAATGTTGATGATTGCGTTGTTCCTTAATCTTTGAACTGGATCCAGATTATTACTTTTTTCAGACCGTAAGAGCAATTTTATAAAAGTAAACTTGAACTTTTGATTATGTCAAATAGAATTTCCGATGGTGGAGCTCCCAAAGGATCTACAAAACAAAAATATGTTTCGATGTCCATCACACAAAAAGTGGAATTGCTGCAAAAAATGGATAAAGACATGAAAAAGGTGACAGAGAGCTTAGTGAAAATGAAAAAAATTTCGATTGACAAGTTAGTCGGTATTCTCGGCACAGCAATTACGGGACTTAAACAGCGGAACTTTGTAACTGAACAAGAAATTATGTCTGTTTATAGAATTAAAGAGAAAGTATTATCACATAAAACGAACAACTTAAACAACTTACATTGAAAGAAATGTTTAATAAAGAAAACAAATATTAAGCTTTTTTTTTTGTAAATTTTGATACCCTTTAGATCATAATTCTTAATTTCATAAATTATGGTTTCATATTTTTAATTTTAGAATTTCTGCATGCCATCTTACGAGATTTAAACTGATGATCTATAATCCGGAATTGCCGAAGTCCCGACTAGTCCGGATTAACGACTTTTGTTCTGCCAACTGCAATATGAAAGGGAGTGGCAGAATTAGATGTTATAGCAGACCCATATAAGAACTTCAATGTTCTGCCTCTAATCACTTTTGAGTTATGTGTGAGATATGTATGTACAGACATCAAGAAAAACTCCTTTTGGAAAAGAGTTCTATCTGTACAGAGAAATGCCATGCCAAAAAAAAAAAAAAAAAAAAAAAAAAAAAAAGTCAAAATGGATACTTCCTTGAAATATGATACCTGAAATATTTTGTTATTACAATACTTCCTTTACTTCATACACAGAAATAAAAAGGGTAGATATAATTAAACAATATTAAAAATGCTAATCACATGCAACACTGCCATTCCAGTTATTTCCAGGCAGCTCTACATAATTTATACTACTCACTTCATATCACGAGAAGCTTGAATAACCTCTCTCTGTCCTCCAAGAAGGGCTTCTATCTCATGGCGACTTACTCCCGCTCCAACCTGTGGAGGAGGAACACTACCTTGCCCATGAGGTACACCTGAAATTTTACAAGAATTTAGAGACCATCCCACTGGATAAGAAAACTATCAAACATAATTTTTTTTTTTATAATTATAAGCTTGATTTCTATTTAAAATTCCTTTTGGTAAAGCATAAAAGGATGTGAAGGGTGATCTTAAGCAACAAAATATTTTTCAGTATTTTCTCCACAAGATTCAGTTGAAACTTTCCACTTAATGATTAAATAATCCAGAGATGTAATATAAACACTTTTTTGTATGAATTTTCATGCTCCATTCTTCTAAATAGTTCAGTTTAGTTATAATTATTTTAAGAAAGACACATGTTTAAACTTATCAAATACTTATTTCACACATATCTGCTAAATGCATTACAGTTTACAAACTGTGTCAGTTGTTTACGAAAGGTTATACCAAAATTAAAGAAAAATTAATCCTATATTGATTTTATAAATAATATGCCTGATATTTTTTTAAAGACAATATTGATTTCATGGTTAGGTTCTGAGATTGTTTTTCCTGGGAAGCAAAAGCTTTCAAACAACTTGTAGTGTTCACAATAGGGGTGACAGGAATCAGCTATAAAACTTTAAACATATCTTATTAAAAGCGTGTTTAATAAAAAGTACATCAGTTAAAAAAAATAAATAATATTTAGAGATAACTGTGGATATGAGTTAGCATTTTTTGAGAAATTTTTTATATCTGGATAGGAGTAAAATCCAGGATACAAGCTAAGGAAGAAATATGCTGCACCATCATTAGTTGGTACTATAAACAATGCATAGAGTAATTTCACATTTTAATTAATATGGTTACCTTGTGTGGTATCCGTAAATCCAACACAGCCACCAGAGGGCATCACTGATGTGCCAGCAGTGAGAGCGAGGTGAAAGAGGAGCATGACATAGAGACAGACAGTCGTCTATCCCCCGCGAAGGTGGTAAGATGTCTCCACGAGAAGGTGGTGAATAATGAACTGTATGTTTCCACGAGGAGGTGGTAACTTACTGCATATTCGACAGCTAGTGCGAGTAGGCGCTAAGCTGCTATTTAAATTCTAAAAGTGATAAAGAACGATGTTTATATCTAACCAGCACAAGAAGGCGCAACAGCACTTGTATTTAATTCAATCTGTACCTTTTCTGTTATTTTTATTTAAATGTTCTGTGGTGTGGAAAGCGTTGGGCTTATTAATGGACCCTAGACTAGCATCCTCAACTCCCTAACCATATTTACACCAGATGTTTGTTCATAATATTTTGTGTTCATTTTCTTATGTTCTTTGTGTGTTTGTGCAGTTATTTTGCTACTATTATACGATATAATTAAGATACAGCAATGTATCCAAAGAAATAAGAAGCAGATGATGTCCTTAATATTAAAACATGCTATATAATCAATGAAAAACATGAGAAAGATGTTTGTGTAGTCAGTTTGGCCAAGCCATATGAGTGGAGTACTTATACGATATGCACGAGGGCAATAGTGACAGCCAAGGGCATTACAAAAAAAAAAATCGAAACATTGTACTTTGTAAATGAAAAGATGGAGAAGTTTCTGTGGGTGTGGCTGACAGAAAAGCAGCATCTGCAAGAAGGCAAAAGACATATATGCCGATTTGCAGAAGATGACTCCACGCAAGTTGTGGCTGGTTTGAAAAGTTTAAAAGATGAACTGAAATTTACTCTTTGGGCAGATATGGTGAAACGGCAAGCTCAGACATGAAAACAATAGAGAAGTTCCTTACACTATTAAAAGCAGAAGGGTACATTCCCCAGCAAGTTTTCAGCTGTGATAAGGCAGAGCTCTTCTTGAAGAGGATGTCACGAAAGACTTACAGTAGACAAAACAAAGACATCGAGCCATAAACCCATGAAAAATAGGTTGGTCCTTTCACTTAATGCAAATGTGAGTGGCAAAGCCAAAAGAAGCCACTGCTCATATACCATTCAGAAAATCCCTGAGCATATGTAAGGCCTAGAAAATTACAAAACTCCACGTGGAGGGCAAACCTGCAATTCATCAGATAGTTTTTTGTAAAATAGATCAACATGATCTTTGGCTCTGCTGTTAAGAAGTATTTGGAGGAAAATAACTTACATCCACAACCTTTTCTCACTCAAATATGCTCTTGCACATCCATTGAAACTTGAAAAATTCATCAAGATTCTCTACATTCTACTGTAACTCTTCTTCAAACAAAGGTTTTGCCAATACTTTGATGTGATCGAAAGCACAACATTTTCATTTGTAAGTTCTAGAAGGACCATCATAATATTGATAGTTCTTGGGAATACTACAATATGACAATGCAGAATGTTTTAAAGATCATTAAATCAGCATGGAAGAAGCTGTTTGAAACGGTGGTGGTGTGTATTGAAAATACGGCAAAGCACACTAGGGTTATTTGCCTAAGGGGAAGGGATGCCTTTGTGGAGGACTTCCTAAGAGAACTGGCTCGTCTACATGCTACACACGGGGAAATGTCTGAAACAGAATTTGAAGTATTCCAAACCTAACCCACAGAAGAAGTGCTGTGTCCCTCGGAAAATATATGGGTCTGGACTCGGATGAGAGAGACAAACTTGTTGAGGATCATTTGGAGGAACTTATAACAAAGGAGTTGAATGAATCAAGCAGCATAAAAATGCTTTGGAGGAAATCAATAAAGAGAAGGAGGTAGAGAAGAGATGCCTATCTCTCAATCTCAAATTAAGGACACTCTGGAAAAGTTAGGACTATTAAATTCACTGGGAACCCCCCCCCCCCCTCAATGCACTGTTTAATAAAACTTGTTAAACACATTTCAGAAACATTCTTAAAAGAAGGATGAAACAAATTTCCTTAGATAAGTTTCCATTGAAACACACTTTAGTACACAGTGAGGAAATGGCCGAGCAAAAATATCAAAAACCAGTAAAGAATAATGAAAGTACAATACATGCAAGTAAAATACTGTAAAACCAGTTTATTTCTTTACATTTTCTTCTGTATATTTGTACCAAGTTTTGTAAAGTTTTATAAGTTTTCTATGCAACACAAGTGCATTTATGGTTAATCTTTACATTACGGTAGCTTGGCGATTTTTTGGCAAAACTTTGGCGACCAAGCCTGCTACAGCAACCTGCTAGTTTTCTTTTTTGGACGCCATTTTGTTTTCATGAAGTAAAGGCATTTTTTTTTTTTTACTCAACATTTTTTTTAACAATCTGCTAGCTGAATTACGCTTATGCTAGAAGTTTTGTGGAACAAAAGTGCTTAATCATGATGAAGATTAGGTGTGAAATTAGGAGAAAGAGTAGAATCGCCCACTGCTTGCCGCGTTTTTAAGAATTGCATATACACGTCGACCTATTTTCACTTAAAAAAAAACATCCCAGAATTGCACAAAAATGGCATTGCGCGCACTCTTGACAACTAATTCATGTACACATCGACTTATTTTCACTTAAAAAGTCAAAGAAATTTGACAAAAATTCAATTCTTCTTACTCTTGTAAAAAGCACCAAACAAATAAGTAGGTGATTCTGCACTTTAGCAGCGAAATTGTTTCTAAGTGCTTATTAGCTAAAATCCCCATTGGAATTTTCCGGAAAATGTCTCACGATCTCTCATTTCTCCGAGACAAAATAATCTGTGTACTTCTCAGATTATTGCTAAAGTCCTAGCTAGTAACCTTCATCGCCTTACCAAAATGTCACCAAACTACCTGTTACCATATTCTAAAGATTAGCCGCATTTATTTTCATATTTAAAAACATATAACAAAAAATTTAGGTATTTGATGGGTTGGAATGCATCTTGATATTTCAATGGGAAGAATTGTTTCAGGATATAAGTAGATCAGCTTATGAGTTCATTCATGAAAAGAATTATACTTGTATTCTGAAATAACCCCAAGTATATAATACTTTAAAATTTAATTACATTTTTTTTTTCTCCTTTACAATATTGAGCAATAAATTATACAAACCTCCAGTCTGCACAGCAGAAAGCATGGACAGGGCTCTTTCTTGTCTTCCAATCACCTCATCTATTTTTCGATGCAGAGCCTTTAGAATTTCAAATATTGAACTTTGCCCTTGGAAAATTTGTTGCAGCTCCCGCTGTTGATGGCTTTCATACTGCAATAGATACAAGTTTATTATTTTAAACAATTTACAGAATAAACATCTGTACTAAAGCAATGCATAATTCAACAGCCTAGTTGGAAAAATAACCATTTTTTAAAAAAAATATTCTTCATCTAATTATTTATGAGGCAGTCCTTTAGAAATTGAGATGCTGTTATTATTTAATCAATCTTTCTCATTAAAGCACACCAAATAAAAAAAGTACACCGGGGTGGGGACTAATTTTATACATTTAAGCAGAATTACATAGGATTTTTCTCTTGATTTCTATAGGAGTATGCTGATCAAGTTGCAACTTCTGACATTATTTTAACAAGCTTACAAGAAGATCTAAATTTTGAGCTCTTGCCCCATTCAGTGATGAAGAGTGTGGGGAGAAAATTTTAAATCCTGTGCCAAAATTGCTGAGATAACTGATCAGACATTCATTCAGCCATAAGGCTGAGAGCATAAACATTGATCAACAGCGCTCAGCTGGAAATTTGATTACCGTCGTCAACGAGATCCACTGGTCCTTTGTTAAATATATTAAGTAATAAAATAATAGAAACAATTTTCTCCTATTCTCTTGCTCTTTACAAATGTAGCCAGAACATGCTATAATCTTTACTTGCCATTAAATACTTGCTATTTCCCTCATGTAATATAACTAATTATTTATAACCACTGTGCCTTCATTTCCAAAGTATATTACATAATTTAAAGCGCAAACACACACTTTCTATTGTAGAATAAATCTTTCACCAAAATATTTGTTGCAAATCCTGATAATTGCTTTGCTCTAATAACTGAAAGTAATAGACATTGCCATATATAATGTTTAGCAGCTGCTAGATGCATTGGTGTTCCACACCCACAAGATGGAAACTTTCCATGATTTCTTGCTAATTGTACTAAGAGAAAATTTGTTTTTAATTTTTTACAATACTCAAAGAAGTATTCACGAGTTAATCTTCTTGTATTTGCCTAGTCCCATCTACTTTGCCATTTCATTAAAACTTGTTTAGAAATTTTATTCCCGATTGTACGTTTTGAAAGAGGAAGAGAGAGATGAATGACATCTTTTAATGTGGTTTGCTTAGAGGCTGTATCAGCAACTTCATTCCCTGTTGTACCTGTATGCCCTTGAAATATACCATATAGAGATCTTACTGTACTCTATTATGTTAATTAACACTGGTAATGTCTTAGTGTGTTTAATTATGTAAGTTAATATTTATCGCATTAATACATGTCACATGATAATATATAGAATACAGTATTACCTCTAGTTTTATGTAGTGGTGATAAGCTTTTTAATCAAGAACGAACTTTAGATATTTTAAAGTATCATTATTTCAAATAGAGACATTCTTCCATCATATTCTTGGAGAGTTTTTTCTAGTTTTGAACCTTAAAAAAACATTATCATTTCTGTCTTAGCACTATTAAAACTAAGTTGATCTTTATCACTTCTGATTTTCTATATTCTCTATTGTTTTCTTTCTAAGTCTACAGTTTCTGCCGCCGACAATGACGATGAAATCATTAATATATACTTGATTTGACATCATATCTTAAGTCTAACTTTAATGCAGTATTAGCCACAATGTTCTACAAAACTGGATTTAAATTAGATCATTGAGGTACAAAACATCGACACTAACTCTTTTGTAAATGACTTTTTTATTATGGATATAATTCATCAGCAAATTGTAGAGATTTGCTGAAGAATTAAGATCTTGGAGTCTGGCGAGTATATCCGGCCACCAAAGATTATTAAAGATGGACATCTACAGAAATTACACAAGTATGTCAATTTTGAGTATAATTTTTTATGATGGTTATTAGATTGTTCAGTGCAATCACTGTTCCTTTAATCAGTATACATCCAAATTGGTATTGATGTAACAGTTTATTATTCAAGAGAAAGTATGCGAATTTGTGCTAGTAATTTATCTAACACTTTGCACAATGTATAAAGAAGTTTTATCGGTTGGTAGGTACTAGGATCCAATTCCCCCCTTTTTTGGGAAACAGCACTAAATTAGCGACTTTCCATGACTCAGGAAAATAGGTAAACTTAAGGCAAGCGTTCATGATATGTATGAAAAGTTTACTATTTGCTAGGTAAAGTTTTTCAAAAAATTCTAAAGTAATTCCATCGATATCCTGTGTTCTTTTATCATTAGATCAGTAGAGATCATTTTGAGTTCTAACAACAGACTCGGCTTTTTCACTTATCGAAGCATGTTCTGCAGTATCTGCCAACATATTTTGTGGAAAGTGGACAAAATAATGTAATTCCACTGTTTCTTGGACATTTACTGTAAATGAATCATTTTGTTTCTTTATTTAATAAAGTTGCAAAGGAGAGACGCTTTTTCCTTTTGCCAAGTTGTAGTAAGTGCCAAATGGAGATGTAGCGATCTCACAGGACTACATTTCTTGAAAGGCACACCACGGATAAAGACATAGGCGAGCAGGTGATGATGCACCTCGAGGAGAGGAGAAAGCAGAAGGGCATCGCCAGATTACACTCGCTCTGGACTTGGATGTTGTGAGGCACACGGTAAAACGCTCCCGTAACTTCGATTTAGAAATGCTGTAATGTTTACCCTACGAGCTTAAGTAACTTGTATTAAATAAATTCTAACTTGAATTGAAAAAGTTGCATCTTCTTTTATAAAATTTTAATAAGCATTCTGATATATATTTAGTTGTAGAAAAACCCTAAAGGAGACTTGGGAGAAATAGTTTCCCCAAAATTACACTAAGAATTAATCTTGGCTTTATGAATTACTACACTTATAAAACACTTCTTTTCTGTAAATGATGTGCAATCTATTTCTCTCAAACTCATTCCAAATCTCAATTTGATACCTTCGCCTCAACACCCTCACCTTTTCCCTTTGAATGTTTTTGTCCACCAAAGATGTGACTCGGGTTTTGGAAATTTTATTCATATTTTTTGTATTATATAGATTATGCAGTTTGCATCCTGTGCAACTATTTTTTTGAAATGTCAGAAGCAATGTATATTACATTCAACTGCCATTTTGAATTCTTGTACTATTAATCTACTGTTAATAATATAATAGCATATTATAATGTAGCAGTCTGATTCATGTTTTAATTTATTTTTACTTTTTTGTTAGGAATAAACTAAAATAAAAACTTGAATGGAAAGATACACAGAGGTATAACTGATAAAATCATCATTAAAAATTCATAATACATAACCTAATTCAAAAACATATTTAAGAAAATTTGAAAAAGCATAAGGAACTAATGATGAAACTCGTTTAAACTCTACACAGATCTCCTTGTTATGTAATGTAATGCCATAATGACGCTATCAATGTATAAATAGAATTTACTTAGGCAAACAATGCCTCACTATTAAATTATTTTAAATTACAATCCGTTATGCATATTTCTTAACAAGTAAACCACCTTTGTACCCCCCTTTTATATATTTATTACCAAAGAAATGTATAAATACATACCACTTCATCTGGATTAAATTCCATTTCTTTCCTTTTGGCCTCATCTGGATGTTCTTTACGGTATCTATATAAAATCTCTTCCTAATTAGTTTAACAATTTTTATCAGTTCATAATTTTATGAAAGGAAAGCATAATTTTGCAAAAGTCGCATGATATATGCAAATCAGATGTTAAATGAAAGGCTACACATATATATACTGAATATATTTTCTATATATGTTTTTCATACATATATTTTCAGACACAAAAATGACAGTTAAATTCATGAATGTAAAAACAAGCATTTCCATTAAATAAAAATAAATTTGAATATGAATTTCATCAAAGATTTCATGAATACTGCTTTAAAAAGTGAAGTAATGTTTAAATGAACTGACCCAAAAGGCTGTAAACATTATATTAAAATGCACAGCAATTCTATTTATAGTTATATGCATAAGAGATTAGTTAAAATGTTGTTAATAATGTTTATTTTCGAACACGTCACATTTCCCAGAATGATACATAAAGTGAATTAAATAAAAATATAGTTTTTAAAATCCAGCAGAATAGCCCTTCTACATCTAGTGCGATGTAATAACTAATGTAAATAACTATTGGAAGAGGAGATACTGCTTTTAGAGAAAGGCTACATATGAAAATTTCATATAACTGTTTCTTTGAAGTTACAATAAAATTCATTAAGTATTAATGAAACCTTTTAACTTACAGTTCACTGGACATTATCAATTTTTTCTTTTTTTTAAATGATGGTTAACTTACTTTTAAAAGTTTCACTTGAAAAGGTATTTAGCATATTAAATAGAAAGCATCTTTAACAGGGCCTTTCACCCAAGGAAAAATTTTCCTTAGAGGGAAATTTCATAGTTTCAAGATGGAAATGAGGTCAGCCTTTTATTTACCAGTTAAATATTTAGTTTTAGATTATGAACATAAAGATCTATTTTTATTCAAGTTTTGGTATTTGTCACATTTTCTATGCTTTTTTCTTATTTAATTTATAAAATACTCTTTAAAGCAATCAAAGTTTAAATAAATGTATATATGTTTTTTTCATGCTTTGGAAAGCAGAGAGGAGGAATGGTCATGTAGCAATGGTGAAAGGGATGCATGGGTCAAAAAAGGTGGAGAACCACTTATCTATAGTCTTTTATATCACACTTTTATAACACTAAAAACCTTAAATTATGTTTATTAAAATGTTAATGCACATAATTTCAAATACTGAAGAATGTTAATTACGAAAATAATTCATATCTTAATGTCAGGAAAATGTTCACTAATTATTTAATCAAGCTGAACAATTCAGAGACTAAACGATACAAGCAAACTAAAATACTTACTCTTCTTTTTGCTTTTCTAATTTATCTTTATACTCTTCATATTCTTTTGAAAACTTTTCTTTTTCTGCATCTGCAATGACTTGTGAAACCTGAAAAAGCCAAACTTTAGCATCAACTTAAAATCATATATATAAAATAAATCTATATGCACTAGTATCACAAATTCCCTATACTACACCAAACTGAAAGTCCCCTTATGTTAAAGGCTGCATAAATAATTTTCTGTGTCAAAAATTTAATTTTAATAAATAATTTTAATGTTCCTGGTTGCATATGTATTTTTTGTACATTATAATTAAGTACAAAGGGGAACAATATTAGATCTGACCAGAGAATATAGGTAAAAGCATAAGAATTTAAGGTAAAACTGCTTCAAATGCTGATTTTCACATCTATCTGAACTGTGAAGGAAATGTTATACATATGCCTTAATCTACTTTGAGAAGCTTGTGTTTTATTCAGTACATATAACTAAAGCATGTGTAATGGATTCATAAATTTGCATTACAGTTTCAAGTAACAAATTCGAATCCATAGTATTCATATCAAAAACATACATATAGTGCTCAAACACATACTCATTCATACACTTATTCTTTATCAACAAAATGTCAAATATGGATAAACATGCAATTACAAAAGAAACTATATATAACAAAATATCATGTTACTCTTTTAAGAATGTTTTATAAATTTTGAGTAATATTTAATGGATAAAGTTAAAATGCCTCAGACAAATACTAATTAACAAGGATCTTAGAAATACATGCTATCACTGTTAAATTTGTTTTACATCTGCACTATAAGTTAATGAACAACCCAATTTTCAGGGTGTTTTGACACAAACAAATCTTTCAAACGAGAGTTGTGATTTCCTTAACCTTTTTCGGCATGCTACCTTTTAAAGTTGGAATTTCGATAAAAAAAAAAAAAAAAAAAAAGGTAGGCAGTCTAACTAGGCCTAGAGAAGTACACAGGTAAAATATTGTGAAGATGGCACTTATCGTTTTAATTCTGTGAGTGTGCCCGCTCTGGGCACACTGATTGAAAAGAGCTTCAAAAAGAGTGCTGAAACAAGCATTGCTGGGAAGCGTGTAAAAGAGTAAGAGATTTTGCTTATGATTCTGAATACCGTATCAGATTTAGCATTACCTAGGGTGTGCTACGGGAAGATCTGCTACTCTACACCCCCCTAAAAAATCTCTTTTTGGTTATATGATGATTACATGCATATGAATGGGAAAAAAGTAACTTGTGTATATGATATATACATTTCACATTTACACAGGGTTCATAGCCACATTTTAGTTAAAAAAATAAGCACCTATAAGCACTTTTCAAGCACATTTTACGAAAAAAAATAAGCACCTGTCTAATTACATTATACACAACTGCATAACCTTAAAAATTAGACTCGTAATTTAAAATATGAGAAATGCAGTATTTATTAAGAGAGAATAAGCATTACCTCAACCATGGAAAATAATCACTTTCTTTTTAATTTTTAAACAACAGTTCAATTTACAGAACTAGTTTACAATGAGAGGAAAAAAAAACTATGCAGAACTAAACTATATTACAAGATTTAATGATGAAATTTCAGTTCAAAATAGAGGGAATAAATAATAATAAGACATATTTTTTTCTATTCGCTTGGAACTTAATAATAAACACAATTTATTTTCCCACTCATATTGATATTTAACTAATTTAAATCTAAATTCTGAACATTTTCTAAATTTTCATTGTATATCAGTTTTCTCTTAACAGATATTGCAAGCAAAGTAATTTAAGTAAAAAAGAGGAACATTTCTGAATTTGAAAGACAGAAATTTGCTTCATGCAGTCATTCTTTAACAGTAAAAGCTTAACTAACCCACATACTTGGAAATTGGCAAATATTCGGACAATCGAGCGTAACTTGAAAAAGAGGAGGGGGGGGATAGACTGTAGCCGCTCTTTAAATTTTTCCGCTAAATAAATGCTTTTGACATTTCAATATGTGCATCATATAAAAAAAACCAATGGAACTGAAAAATATTCTGCTTAGCAAGTGCAGTAAAACTTTTTTAAGTGTTCATAAACAAATCTCGGACAAAACATCAAAATTAATTATCTCTGCAAAATATCCCAAACATTATTGCGCAATACGTGCGCCGTAATTCTTTCCTACGTGATATTACACAATCGGAATCAACAGCTGCCAGTATTCGGAATGTGTGTGTGTATAGGGCTATCTGCCTAAGGGGAGGGATGCCTTCGTGGAGGACTTTCTAAGGAAAACTGGCTCGTATAAATGTTACACATGGGGAAAACCACGGAAACGCCCATGCAGCCAGCCCGTTCGCGGGATTCGAACCTCGGACCGAACTACCAGTGTTCAGCGACTTTACCGCTCGGCCGCCGATATTAGGAGAATAAAGAACTAAATAACTGGGGTGTTTTTCATTCTAATTTTCAACAGACAGCGTTAAATTTCCGGAATAGAATCATTCTTCGCTTGTGTTGGTAAACCGCAGAACTTTGTCCTATTCAATCCAGATTGGAAAGTGACGACAACAACAACAACAAAAAAAAAAAAAAAAAAAGTCCATTGCTTGTTTTGCAGTCAACTGTATCAGTTTCAATATTCGAGATTTTGCGGAAAAAGGGGAGAACCTCCCAATCTTCGTACTGTATAGCAGCGAACTGTAACAGTTTCAATATTCGAGATTTTGAGGAGAAAGGGGAGAACCTCCCAATCTTCGTACTGTATAAAATATTGGCCATAAAAATGAAATTATTTTGACTATTCGATTACTTTCCCTTTATTTAAGCCATTCCGAATATTATTCCTTAGAAAGTTAATCTGTGTCAAAATGCAACCATTTCTGGAAGTTTACTATACTTCAGCAGTTATTGCAACTATGTTATTATAAACATTCATACATATACTCATAATATAAGCATAACGATCATAATAAACACAAATATGAACTGAGCAAGCGGAACGAGAATGCAAATTATTAAGATCTTGATAGAAATTCAAACATGTGTAGTATTTGGGTGCGAGGAAAAGAATGCCGAATGTACTGGAATTTTCTACTGCTTTCGCAATTCTTTGACCAATAGAACGATGGACACCTGTCTGTACTCTTTGTGCACACCAAAGGTTATGTTAATGCAGAGAAAGGGGGAAAAGCTATTTCCGGGAGTATGATTCAGCATCTGACATTCCATATTAGGAAGAAAAGTTGTTTATTTAGCTTTGCTACGGGGAAAATAGTGCGTTCATTAAAAAAAAGCACTAAAAGCAAAAAATAAACACTAAAAAAAAAAAAAAAAAAAAAAAAAAAAAAAAAAAAAAAAAAAAAGAGGGGGGGGGCTTTAAAGAAAAAGTAAGCACCTATAAGGGCCTTTATATTTTATTTTCAAATATAAGGACTTAAAAGCACTTATAAGGAGTGCTACGAACCCTGTTACAATTTCGACTATTTTTTTCATGGTGGTACTTTTCGAAGAAAGTGACACCACCTTTGAAAAAGCACAGCCCAATTTTGCATGTTTTGCACATGTACCGGGATTCGTATCAAATTCACTATTTGAAAGCAATTCGTGTAGCACTTTTAGTGCTTCAGAAATGATCAGCCCTCTCCGACCCGTTTGGAAAATAAATAAAAATCTGGAAAAAATAACTAATATTATATCTACAATTATAAATTATAAACTATAAAATAAAATTAAATAAACATCTACAAATCAAAACTATTAAATGTAGTGTTAAATTTCTTTGAACGATAGCAAAAGAGAAAAAGAGAACTTCTCTAGTGAAATACCAAACAACTAACTGATAAAATTACCCTTGACCTTCAAAAAAATCACCTCAACAATTTATTAGTTGATAACCAACCGCCCTTCCCCCCAAAAGAGAAAAACAGGAATGAAACACAGATGTGGACCCACCTTTCTGTCGTCAATGAACTGATCGATGCGGAGATACATAAACTATAGTCTCTCAGTGAGCCCGCTCTGGGAATACTTGATGTTCGTCATTCGATTTTAAGCAAGATTTCAAGGTAAAAATTTAAAACTAATATAGAATAAGGAGATTAGCATACAGCCCCCCCCCCCCCAAAAAAAAATAGAAAGTTCTTTTCATGCAATTCCTTTTATACCCCAAAAAACTGGAAGATTTCTTTGAAAAAAATGAGGTTCTTAAAAAACAAGCATGGCTAAAATATATAGATTAGTTTGTGTTGAGCTGCCATCTACTATAAAGAGAAAAGGTTCAGAGTAACCTATAAATCCTTTTTCATTCAATTTTTATGTGCATACAGAAGGAAATTTTTAGGTGTGCCCAGAATGGGAACATTGTGCTGCAAAGGGTTAATGCAAAAAGTATATAATTAACATTAAATACAAGATGAGAGAAAAATTTATTCAAGTCCTCCTACAGGAATTCACTCCAGTTTAATTTTTTTTTTCTTTCAAGGCAACATATTTTAATAAAAAACACAAAAATTATAAATTTTTAATTCAAATAATTCAAAAAAAAAACATTCAATACAAAATCACATATTAAAAAAACTCCTACTTACAGGTTGAGTTCCAGGTGGATATAAACTATAAGCAAGGAATTTAAGCGCATCATGATCATCTGTTAAAAAAAAATTGAAATTGTACCATTTGAAGCAATATTTTTCTTTAGTACTTTCCAAGTATAAAACTAAGCATTGAAAGCTACTTGAAATATATAAGCAAAATGTTGAATTACATACAAGTATTGGACATTTTTTGGGAATAAAAAAATTACCGATGAACTTTCTACATGGTTAAACAAATATAAGAAAATTAGCTTCCATAAGTACATAGAATTTACAAATACATGCAATAATACTCTGCTATTATTGTAATAAGATGGCTTGGCAGAAAGTAAAATGCAATGGATTTGTGGTGGTTCTTGGCATTATAACTGCGTAGTTAGCAAGAGAACACTCCAAGAACACTCTAAGAACACGCATAACGATAAATTCCACACATAATTTAATCCTTGATGATGCCCATTATCACTGTGAGTGCATTAATGCCCCCCCCAATTTTGTACAACTTGCATCTTAAACAATGGATGAAATTAGAAAAGTAAAACTAGTGGCAAGGCGACCAAGCGAAACAAAGTTTGAATACAGAGAGTTGGGACCCAATTAACCTTTTATACCAGACTACATGACAGTTTAATGTCCAGATGTTATGTTCAGACTTCAACAATAAGTGCAAATCAGAATTGCAGGGAGTTAAGATAGAAAAATTATAGCTCTGTTATTTAGAATAAAAATGGGAGTTAAAGGGCTATTATTAATTTATTATTTTAAAGATAGATATTTTATGGTTTACATACATATATGTGTGTAATAAACACAAAATTTAGAAGTACTGATGTAGGAATACCGAAAAATAGAAATCTGTTGTAGAAACATAGAAAAATACTGATGATGAAGCATGTAGATGGCCTATTGGAGAGGATGAAATCTAACTGCATAGTATGCTAATAATATGCTGACTTGGTAATATCTAAGAAACTTGGCAGTTGAGTCAGTTTTAATTCCATTTTTATTTTCCAGTTGATGTTTGCGGCCACAATTTACTTGGCACTCTAGTTGTGCATATTAAAAAACATTTACATTTTTTATATTAGTGATAGGAAACAAGGATGGGGAAACTGCATCCTAGCAGGGTAGAGAGCAAAGCCGAAGTTTGTAGTTATGCAATATGGAAGTACACGAAGAGAAAAGTTTTGGTTTGAGTTAAAAAGTTTGCGTTTCCAATTATTACGTCATCAGTGCCGTGCAGGCCATGCAAAATCGAATGATCTAGAAATGACACATTTCAGAGATGTTATTTTAGAATAGAGAGGGTGAAATTAAAGGGTTACCATTAGTTTAAATTATGATTTTGATTCACACATTTTGTAAAGATTTATACATAAACAAACCTTAGAATTTTATTTTCTAATATGTTCAATCTGATAGCTCTTTTGTTGATCTGTCATATTACATCTTGATTTCAAAGATAAAAGACATTTTCTTAAAACATCAAGGTTGATTTTATTCTACTCCTCCTTCACAATTTTCCGGAATCCATCCAATGTTTTGGGATGCCGTTTATAAAGAGCTTGTTTTAAAAATCCAGATGCACAGTAATCCATAAGAGACACATCAGGAAAATTGGGTGGAATGTATTTAAAGGGAATAGAGCTTTAATTCTGGTTTCATTTTTCATTTTTTTCAAATGAAGCAGTAGATTTAGAGGTATGACTTGGAGCCTTATCATGATGGAAGTTCACACAGTGAAGATTGTTGCGTTAAAAAGATGGAATTTAGTCTTTAAAAATAAAAGTTAAATCATTTTCTGACAGTAATCTGAATTTAATTTTGACATTTTTTCCTCCTTTCCTTATCTTCAAGATTTCCGTTATGAGAGAATCCAATAATAACCATAAAATCTTTAGGGACACTTTCCTTGTTTTCTCTGAACCAATATATAAAGTATTTTTCTCTTGTTTTTCAATAGTAAACCAATCTTTTTTTCTATTGCATGTATTTCCATTTTTCACCTGCCAAATAATTTTCATACACCAATCCGCACATCGTCTTACGCTGAGAAACATGTTTCGGTGTTAGGTGAAGATCTTTGTTTTGATTAGCTTTAAAGTACATTTTATAATTTTGTTAACAGTTCCTACAGAGGTACTTAAAAATTTTGCAATAGCTCTTTGGAGGACTGGATTTTCCTTTAAAACATGAGATACGACTTTAGATTTAATAAGAGCTGTACATATCTTTGTTGGGTATGCATTTTTTCCCAGTCAGATGTAAACTTTGATATTTCTTTCCTTTTATATTAATTATGTCACTTATTTTACATGTAAAAATATTAAAACCATGCTTTTCAGATCTTTTTTAATAACTGAATATGAGTATTTCTTTTTGGAGACCATAAAAATATAGCCTTTGATTCATTGTTTATTTTTCAGTAACATTTTAAGGGAAAGATTGTTTCTAAAGAGGCTATCACACTTGGCTACAGTCCTTGCTAGACAGGACTTTTCTGAAAAACGAGATTCTGGTAGTACTGGTTTAAACTGGAGCATTCCTAGAAAAAAAGAGGCCTGCCTAGCTACAGAAATGATGTTGCGGCTACGAGGGATTTTTTCAAAACTCACTGAAAATGTCTTGGCTGGACATCTGTCCCAGGTAGAGACAACCAACCAGACGAAAGTTCTGCTTCTGAAGCATCATGTGATCCCAATCTGAGCTATAATCGATTAGTGCTTGGCATTCAAGTCTTTGTAGTAAGTGAAAATGGTAACTTAGTTACACGGGTTTCCAGGAATTATGCGGGTTCTGAGAAATGTCCCTTTCGACATTAAGTCCCGAGTAGTCGAAACATAATGTGATTGGGACCTAATGCTGCAGACGATAACTAAACCTTATTCCAATTTGATGCCAGTCATGTTTGTATTTTAAAATTAATATCTAAATTCACGGAGAAAATTGAAATAATTACAAAAATGTGTGAACACCTTCTGTATATGCATGTGATGAAATATTTTAGTTCATTGCAGTAATTTGATATGAGAGTTCTTTACTAGAAAAGACATCAATTTGCAGTTAACAGTCTGAGGTTACAAGATAACTGAAATATCAATATCATTGAAAATATCAATTATGCAGTACAAGATACCAGAAACTTTTAAAGAATCACAAAATCACTTGCTACTCCAAATATATATTTATTACTTGTTGATTAATCTATTAAATGGCATAGAACAATGGGGGCAATCTGCACTCCATAATTTTGATGAAGACACTTTACATTTTTAACATTTAGTCATTTTAATTTTTTAGCAGCCAACCTAAGAGACATCCTTCAGCTAGCAAGTATACGCAGAAAAAAAGAGTATAGTTGGATTGCAACACAGTATTTATAATAAAATGTTTCATTAATCTGATTGGTTAAGAACTATACATAATGCAGAAGGTTAAGATGGTGTAATGCAAAATTAGTTTTCAGATATGACGCAGTTTCAAAAAAGTTATTATGTTTAGAATAGAGAGAGGGAACTGCCCAAACCAAAAGGAGGAATTAAAGAGCTATTGCTAATTTAAAGCATAATTGAAAGTTGCATATTTTTTATCTTAAGCATATATACGTATGTGTAAATTAAAAAAAATTAAAAATGTGTATAAAAAAGACCCTTAAAATTAAAATTTAGCACAATTGCTGTTTAAATTGGTATTAAATAATTAAAGTAAATTATAACCATAGGCAATTTGCAATAAATTAAAAAATTAAGTAGATCTGTCAACACTTTTGGCCAAGAGTGACAGTTTGCTGTTAGAAAATTCAAACTAAAAAAATTTTAAGACATGTCAAAGAAAAATCAGAAATTAAAAACAGATTTAGCTGATTTATTTCTGTCTGAATGAAACTTTGTCAGGAGGTGGTTCAGCCCCAAAATAAATACTTCAACTATCATCTGGTGCTCAAAAATATATTTCTATTCACACTAATTAAACAGAAGTCCTTAATATTTTAGTGGGTTCAGATTTAAATTATAATGATATATTAAGCTACACCCACTATGGAAGATATACAAAATATCTGGAGATTTCTCCCTCTCCCAATGTGGCAAAAAAGTAATCTGCTAATATATATTAAAAAAAAAAAAAAAAAAAAAAAAAAAAAAGGCGAACACAAATATATAAAAATCTTTCAGAGAGGTTCCTTTTCTAAATATACTATAAAACTAAAAATTATTTTCTAAATAAAACTATAAACCATTAACGAAAGTTTCCAAACATTTACTAATTATGATACATTTAACTGAATAACCAGTATCTTGTAACAATCATTTAGATTTTGAATGATAACAGTCAGTTATTAACCCTTTGGCTACATTTGATATTATCAGTATGTCATGCATTTGTTTGGGCAAAGACGTACATGATGTTCTGATAAGTCAGTGAAATTGAGACGAGATTTAGCTAGTTCATTCTGGTTTACTTCAGAGTAATGTGTATCTGTTGCAATAGAACAAATAATTTCAGAAGTGAACCTTGTGGGCGAGTAAGCCCACAAAATGAAATATGCTCCAAGAGCAAAATATTTTTTAAATAAATGTGTACCCAAAGGGTTAAGCAAAAAAATTTGCTCTTGTTAGTACTGGTATATTCACACCGTATCTAGAAGGTCCCAGAAGTGTGTTTGTTTCCTCAATCAATTTCATTGCCTCAATAAATTACTTGTTTTTGCTTTGTTACAACCTAGATTATTCTTTGTCACTATATAGACTAAAATAATGCATAGAAAATATTTTCCCCTATAAGTATACAAGTATTGTTAGAGACTTTGATACTTTGGAACAGCTTGGTTCGTTATACATCAACGGCTCTATGGAAAACACACTCTTTTGCAAAAAATTGAAGCACCAAGAAGGACTTTTGCAATCGTGACGAAATTTGGTATGCAAAAGCATCTTGATTGAACATGCAAATGATCAAAGTTTCAAGGCAAATGAACAGGAATTGCGATCATAGCGCACATTTTCTAGTGCACAATTCGCAAAGTATAAAACCAGTAACAGAGGTGGAAAATTTATCTTTTTTTGTTGCTGCCATTGTAATTCCGTAAAGAAGCAACTAAAGATGGCAATACGACGATATCAAAGACTTTACAGACGAATTAAACGACTTTGAACGTGGTCGCACTGTAGGGTTGCGTGAAGCTGGGATAAGCTTCAGATTTCGGCAGAGAAAACTAAAACTTTACTCATAGGATGTAGCAGGCAGCTTAGATGCAACCCAAGCATTAAACTCTATGGGATACCGGTAAAATGCTTCCCCCAATTGAAATATCTTGGGCTATTACTCAACAATAGACTTTCCTGGATGCCACATGTCAGGAACCTTAAGACTCGAATTAGCATCTTAAGCAACAACATGAAACGCACGCACGACTTCACATAAATGGGGTATCTCATCTAAGCTACTAAAAATTTGGCATAGAACCATTACAGAAAGAGTAATAACTTACGAAGCAGCAATCTGGAGTGGTGAACTACCTCTCATATGAGAAGATCCCTGCTTTCTATTCAGAGACAGCAGCTACTTCAAGTATGCAGGGCCTACTGTACCACATCAACACCAGCCCTACAATAACTGGCAGGAATTCCTTCCCTAGATTTGGTAGTAGAAAAGGACGCAACTATTTCAAGTAAGGGTTACCAGGCTGGGTCAAACTTCAACACTCTGAGGTCACAGTTATCACCACTCAGAATACGAGGAGCAGCTTTTAATCTCTCCAACGTTATCAGCATAAATGACCAACCAATTCAGAGCAACAGTAATAACCTTTTCACAAATGGCTCCAAAATTGAGAATGGCACAGGCAGCGCCTTCTGTAGACTGGAAAATGGAGTTGTAACATTCGAGTGGAAAAGGAAACTAGGCTTGAACAACTCAGTATACTAAGCAGAGCTTCTAGCTATCAGTGCTGCAATTAGATATGTGAACACATGTCAACAGGAAATATTCTCTCATTCAACTCAGTGATTCGGCATCTAGTCTGGCGGCTATCTGAAGCCAAAACAGCCAGAGTCCTTTGGTATACCGAATTCAGAAACAGCTTCTGACAATGCTATTTCGCAGAGACCCACTTTAAAATGAGTTCCTGCTCACACAGGGATTCAAGGCAATGAAGCCGCTAACCTACTGGCCAAGCAGGTAGCCAACTGCACGGATATATTAGAAAGACCAACTAAACTTCCTTGGTCTCATATTAAGTGAACAACTTTGACAAGTCTGCTACAAAATTGGCAAAGTAGATGGACATAGACAGAGGTTAGGAGGAAGGACATTTTGCTTACAGCCTAAAGTTAACATGGAAATAAAGACCCACCGTGCTAGCCTAACATAGTTCTTGACAGGTCATGGACCATTCCCAGTATACCTGAACAGATTCAGACTTACGGATACTCATTTCAGTGAATGCGGAGAAGAATGCGACATGGACCATTATTACTTCCATTGTGTACATAAAAGAACCTGGCACTTGAAGAAACCAACGGACTGTGCTTGGGCAATGTGGACGTCTAACACACTCATAAACAGAGTAGCCCTTGGTAAAATACAGAACATCTCAAGACATTGCCTAAGCAAAAACAACTATGAATAATATTATGTTTCAAATGTTCAGAACTTAAAGCAGCTAACCAGAATAAAGTTTAGTGGCTGCAGTTATCAAACTGTAAAAACTGTTTATTAGTATGCAATATTCAACCTTCTTTGGAGTCTTTCCCGCCGTGATGGTATATAATTCCGTTTTGTTCATGTTTGTGGTCAGAAGCCATCATAGCGGTGCACTCACTCACTCTTCTTTGGCCAGCAAAGTCACCCGACCTTTCACTAATCAAGCATGTCTGGGACATATAGGCCGCCAGATTCGGGCACCACAAAATATCAAAGATCTGGAGCGACAACTGATGAATGCCCTGCAGAATGTGTCGCAGGATGACATTAGGAACCTCTACCATTCCTTGCCTTGATGAATTCAAGCACGCATTGCTGCCAGGAATGGTTTGACCAACTACTAATTTGAACACTCAATGGGTGATTGTAAGCTGTGAATAGGTACTATGACCTTGATTTTTTAATAATTTTATTATCTGTGTATGAGCTACACACATATTCAATTTCATCAAAAACAACCACTTCCTTCATGGTGCTTCAATTTTTTTGCAAAAGAGTGTATACAACATACTTTTGTACATTGCAGCTCTAAAAAGCAAAATCTATTGGAACTTTTAAAAATTATATGGCACATCTCTTATGTCTTTAAAAATAAGAGATTCTCCAATATGCTGAAACACAGCAATTTGAAAACACATGTTCAGATGCATTAAACATGTCACTAACTAATGTAATTAAAAGTCAGAACATGCAAATTAATCATCAACTACAAAAAGTCAGATTAAAAATATCTAAGATAATTTTAAATTCAAACTACAGACATATTGATTTTTTCAAATAATAAACATTACAACTTAAAATAGGATAAAACAAATTTAAAACTACGCAAAAAAGAGCAACCTTTGTTTGGTATCAATTTCATATGTGATCAGATCAAGTGTTTCAAGTCCCTCCTCTTCAGAAGAGATGACTGTTTTTTACCAAAAGCAATGGGTGGAACATAACAAGCAAAAACATAATACCATCGATCAAGGAAAATAGTCCTGAAATATGAAAATCTAAGATATTACAGTTCTGAAAGCACTAGCAGCAGTTAATTCCAATATAATCTTTAGCATTTCCAGAATTCTAAAATCTTAGTTTTCCACATTTCATTACTATTTTCCTCAAAAAGATGATGTTATGTTTGTGCTTGATTTGCTTTGCCCATTGCTTGCTGTACACAGCCATCTTGTTGTTCGATTTTTCCCCCCCTCTTGAAGTAGATAACACAAGTCTGATAGTTTTATTAAAAATCTATGCCAAAAATAGGTTGCTCTTTTGCCTGGTTTTAAATTTCCCATTGGCATATTTTTCTTCTATTTGGAGCAAAATAAAACCTAAAGTGAGTGAATTAACATGAAAAACAGTTATTCAAGATCATCAACATAAAATAAATATTTATTGAGACTTAATTAAAAATACGCACCAGCTAAACCACCAGTTGCAGCTGAGAGACCAAAGTAACCATATTGTGGTAGGTAAATATTTTCTGCTCGCAAGCACAATTCAAAGTCATCATCATTATTAGAATTTCCATTGTGGAAAAGAATCTAATTTAAGGTAAAATACATAAATGTACAATAAACATTACATAATAATAAATTTTTCAAGATGAATATTACATTCTACAGAAAATATATTCACTAACCCCCCTGTTTTACTGCTAAATATTTGCTCTAAAATTTGGTTATGGTCTTTTAATTTGGTATTTTTATAAATGAATTTGTAGAATGAGAAGGAGTTTAACTATCATGTTACATAGAATAATTACACTGTTTGAATACTAAATAAACTGAACAGAAACATGCATGTATGTCAGGAAAAAATATCCCAATACCAAGGAGTTGTGCTAGATAAATGAAAGTTGATGGGCATGTTTATACATCTGAAAGATGACGTCTATTCAAATTTTGCACTAGGCACATTGGTGTGGTACTAAGAGTGCCACTATGAATATGCAAATCAGGTTTGCTTTAAATACGCACAAAAAATTTGTGAGCATTATTTAGCTTTGAGATCTGATGTTAGTCAAGAATGCCTTTAAGAGGATGGAGACACCATTATCAAGAGCTCAATGAGCTTGAAGGAGGTCACGTAACTGCACTATGAGAAAGTGGATAATCTTTCTGCAATATTGCAAAAAGTTGTGGCAGGACAGCTGCAAGGCCACATACCCAGTAATGTGCATTCTACTGATTCCACACAACTGCCGTTTGCGAAGTCAGTGGCATCAAGCTACAGCTCAGTGGAGGACAGAGTGGAGACCTGCTAATTCTTGATGAAAGCCAGTTCTGCCTTGGTACCAATGATTGCCTTGTGTTGCTTAGGAGGAGGCATACTGTCTACAGCCTAGACATACTGGACCTACAGTTGGACAGCAATTTCGTATGAAAGCAGAACTCTCATGGTTAATCCCACGTACCTCAACTGCAAATTTATATGTCAGTCTGGCGATTCAATCTATTTTGCTGCCATTCATGAACAGCTTTGAAGGGGGTGTTTTCCAATAACAGAACGCTCACCTTCATTCCGCTGTTACCCAACATGCTCTACAGACAGTCGACATGTTGCCTTCGCTAGCTAAATCGCCTGATCTTTCTTTACTTGACCACTTACAGGACATCAATGATGACAAGTCCAGTGTCACTGTCTCTTTATTAACCAACCAAGTACAACAGGCATGGAAGTTCATCCGACACCTGTACGATACAACACATGCACATTTGCACACTTGCATTCAAAATTCTGGCAGTTATACCAACTATTAATATACCAGCATTTCACACTTGAAATGGTTCTCGTGCCTGCACTAACCTGTGGTCTTGAAAATTTAATCAATTAAATACATTACTTAGACAGAGGTATTGCTAAAATTTCATTATAATAAAAAATACCATTTATAAATTTACTACAGAATATAGCTATGTACTGGATATTTTAAGCAATCTGAAGACTAAATATCTCCTGAATGGTTGGTTATAAATCCATGATACTAAATGAAGCAATAAACCAAATAAGCTAAGTCTTCAGAATATGAAATTATTGTCATGCATTATCTTTGTCAAAATTTATGAAACTCAAAATTTTCATTAATGAAGAAAAAATTTTCCATAGCCATATTAGTTAAAGGGAAAACATTTCTCCTCATACAATTATTACTTAACATATTAAAAGTTTTGGGAATATAATGCAAATATTGCTATACACTGAAGAGCCAAAATTAGACTACTTATTCAATAACATGTTGTGTAAGCTATGGCCTGAAAAACGGCTGCAACTCAATTTGGCATGGATGTCACAAGTTCTTGGTAGATGACTGGAGACATGTTGTACCAAATGTCTAAGCAGCAGTTTCGTAAAGTCAAGATATTTCTACATAGTGATGTTTGAGCTATGTAGAGCTACATAGTGGTGTTTGAGCTATGTAGCTATCATAGAGCTGCTACTCTATGACATACCAAATATACTGTATTAGGTTAAGATCTGATAAGGTAGGTAGACAGGACATTAATTGATATTCATCTGCTCCTCGAACCCCTCCAACACAGTTTGAGCCTTATGACATGGAACACTGTCCTGCTCGAAGATTACATTTCCAGTTGGAAAGACCCATACCATGTAAGGGTGCAACTGGATCTGTAATTATGTTCAGATAGTCCGCAGCTTTCATGGGTCCCAGAGCCACCCAAGAGAATATCACCGCCACCACCAACCTGAATAAGACTTGCTGTACAGCAGTGAGCAACTGCTCGCTTGAAACACAGCATATCCTAACATGACCTTTGATGTGATAAATGAGAAATCATGATTCATCCAACCAGGTAACTGTCCTCCACTTATCCATGGTCCAGTCTTGATGTTCTCCAGCCCACTGTAGGTGTAGTTAACAATAACGCTTGGTAAACAGAGGCACACGACTGGGACATCTGCTGTACAGTCCCATATCCAACAGTGTTCACTGAACTATGTGTTCAGAAACACTTGTACTTGGAATGTCAGCTGAGCCATTGTCTGGCACCGATTTTGTTGTACCAAGTAACAGAGTCTCCTATGTCGTTTTCCTTGATGACACGTGGACATACAACACCTTGGCATCTACTGCTGGTTACACCATCATTTAGTCACTTTGCATAAATACTAACAATTTCAGATCATGAACAACCTACCAGTTGTACAGTTTCAGAGATACTCGTTCCGAGTTTTCGGGTCATTACTATCTGCGCTCTATCAAATTCGCTTAGATCAGCAGCTTCACCATCATTCATAAAAGTAGGAGCAAGAATGATTCCTTACCTTCTCCAGCAACAGTTAAATACCATACACACTTAATCACGTGCCCTCCATGTCATCCAGACAAGTTCATTGAACAATGTGGGGATGGTCAATGTTTTGGCTCATCAGTGTACATATCTATGCACATTAAGTTTTTGAATGAAAATTATAAAAATATCTTATATACATAAGGTATAAAGTAAGTATAAAGGTATAATACTTACTTACGTAAGACTTTAATTTAGAAACTTTAGTTTCAAATTCTTATTGATAGAAATTCAGTTTTATAAGACTCCTAAAATCAATATTCTTTTCTTTGGAGAAATTGGTTAAGTCATGATTTGGCACTTAAGCAATGCAACTACCCTGGCACAATTTGATGTTTTTACAAAGGAAAAGGTAAAAGTTACTAAATGCAAGTTGGTGGTTGTATGACTTTTTTAAAAGAGATTCCAAAAATATCAATATTTATCATATGTTGGCAAACATTATCAACATATGGAAACAGAATATACATTAGCAATTTAAAATATAAATTTTAATTACTAAAAGGATCACATGATGCACAAGAAAAATAAAACATTTATACTCTTCTTCAAACCTTTCTGCAATTTTTTTTGCTCTGTTCTTCTCTCCAAGTACATAGCTATCTTTTTTTTTTCTTTTCTCTCCTTCTTTCTTAAAAAAACAGAGAATTGCAGAGACTCGGCACCACACAAATCTCGGTAACATTGGCTAATTACCAAACACATCTCCTCATTTAATTGTGTGAAGTTCCAGGGTGATTCTATATTTTATAAGTTTTGCTTGCTTGTTTTGAGCCTTAAACATCAATTTGTTAATGACCCAAATGTGACATATTTCATGAAAATTAAATATATTTTTCATTTTTGTGCATAATGCTAATTTTCTTTCATGTATAAATGCACTAGCTACCTTTATACATAATTTGATTTATACATAATTTGATGCTAATCAAAGCTTACTTTTCCATTTTTATTTTACTATTGCATGTTTAACTTTCAGAAGCCAGTGTACAAAAGTACCAAATAAAATATTTTGGCATCATCCTGGAAGACAACATAATAAAGATCTTTATCACCTGGCAGTTGACAAATGTGAAATATTAAGAGAAGAAATGAACTCTGTTCTGTTTATATATATATAATATAGAACATATTTTATCTTTCATGTATAATGCTTTATTTATATACATAATATGAATTAACACGGGTCAATAATTTTATTATACTCAGGCACTATGTAACAATAATTTCACACAGAATATAGATACTTGGATAAATGATAGAAAACGATCTGAATAGAGTTCTTGCCTATCACTATTACATTTTAAATCTTCAAAAATTAAATTTACCAGCTTGAAGGTTTTCAGATGAACAAATAAAATTATTACTTGGCTGAAAAGGTTCATGAAATAATTAATCGTGTGTGCGGCATGATTGGCTTTAGCTGGTCATGAGATTTGTCACATATTAGCTTATAATTTTAAATATTTTGCTTTCACACTTTCTTTAATCCCTTTGAGCCGGGTAGCGCAAACGCGCGCTTATCGCGGAGGCCGGCATACCAAATGTCTACGCGAGCGTCTGTCCAGGGCCGGGGGCTTTTTTGCTATTAAGCCTAAATCCATGAAATTTCCGAAGTATCAACACATTGTTTAATAATGCTCTATAGAGTATTTAAATGGCCTATGCTTTATAGATATTTTTATACTATATATTTTAATTACCTTATTTCTTGTTTAAATGCATATTTTACACTTTTTTATTTTCATTACTCACCATTTTATGACTTTTAACATTATACATCTGAAAACTAAATATATTACTTAAAATTCTCTTTTCATATGAAAAATTTGAAAACAGGGACCTACACACAGTCCTTGCACTCGTAATAACTCATTTGCCGTTTTGGAGGATTTTTTCGGGAATGTGAACAAACGAAGCATTGTTGTCTCATTTTCTTATCAATCTCTTCTGAACAAAGTTTTGGAAAATGTCTTTCAGTTAATCTTTCAGAATCAGTATCAGAATATCAGAATTTCAGAACCAATATCTGAAATATTTTGCGTCATTTCTGCTATTTCATGTTCTGTTAAACATTTTCGACGCTTGGACATTGCAACGGTAAAAACAGAAAGAATTCACGTCTAACAAGATCTAATTATTTTCTAAAAACTGAACTGCAAACTGAAATATCCAACGCTTTAGCGCAAATAAAACTTCTCTACTTACAATACAACTACCGCGTGCGAATAAAGTGCGATTTAAAGAGACGTCATAAATCACATCATTTGGAAACATTTATTTCCCATTTTGTTTATATAATCAAAAACACGTGTATGTGAGTCATGCTTCTCTCATTTCGAGTAGAAGGTCTAATGTACATGTATCTGAAACCATATGGACATACAGTGCCATCTTGTGGCAGAAATTTATAGTTTTTAAAACGTTCCAGGACAATGGCACAAATACGTGACAGTCGACGATGAGCGGGAAAACGCTCTGGCATGCTTGCGTGTCGGCCGGGAAGTGAGTGTGTTCGTTGCTGGTACGTAGACGTGACAGTCGGCACGAAGGGGTTAATAATGTAAATGTCCTCTTAATGAATGCAAGTTTATAAAAATAGAGACTAAATTAAGTAGTTATACTAATTTTGATAATTACCATAACTACTTAATTTCTGATGTGTCATGAAGTCTGTTCTGGTCTTCATGACACATCAGAAAATCAATGCCACGTTCACAAGAGCAGATTCGATCGGCGGGGAAAACCGGTCCTTCCAATGTGTCCCATTCACGTGGCAAACAAGCATTAACTACTTCTCCGAACTGGAGGTAGAATTTGCAAGAATGCTACCTCCAATTCGATAATAAATAATTTCGTTCCTACCTCTTGGGAGCAGGGGATTTCCCATACTATACTACGCGATTCACTTAATTTTTTAGTTTCTGCTCGCTGGACTATCAGCAAAACAATCGTGCCAATAGATGTCTTGGGTTGTGATAGCATCCCCCAAAAATTAGATAGAACTGTACGAAACAAGATATGGAAATTATAGGCAAATACAGACAAGGTTACCTGATGCTGGGTATTCCAGAAATATTGTTCAAATTAAAACTTAAGTGCATATCGGCTTCAACGCGACAAGGAACTCGGTACCTTTTGAATGTTTTTTTTTTTATTTAAGCATTTTCATCTACTTTTTATGAATATTATTATATGGTTTTGTAAGACAAAATGATTTTAAGCTGAAAAAGTTTTTTTGCTAGTAATTTTTTTAATTTAAATTTTTGAAGAAAAATTTTACAATTAAAATGTCTTTCTCCTACAATTTTCAATGTCTTCCCCCAGTTTTTTTATTGTATTTATTAGAGTGCTCTTGACAACTTCAAGGAATGACTTTGCAATTAAAGAATTAGTTTCCGAGAAAAAAATAAAAATACACTTTATCTAAAATCTCTGAAACAAATATGATCTCAGTTACATTTTCATTTCCAAAGGGAGAAATTTCTTGTATTATGTATTTTGCAAAGACCTGGCATCCCAGGTTTCTATAAAGTACATAATCTCGCGGGTTAAATAAGCAGTAAAAATAATAAATAATTTAGTCCATACCAGTGTATATGTTTTATGGACTTTAAGTTAAAAGGATTTATCGAAAAGAATGCAAACATTTCTCAGTTTGCATTTGCAGTCTTAAAGAATACAAACTGTCTAAATAGACATTAAATCATTTCAAATTTTATTACACACACACATATATATATATAAATCAAACCTGTGCTACTTATTCAATTGGTAAATATAAAAATAAATTACAAACCTTTTTTTAAAACCTTATCTGGACAGAAAAATTGCAAACAAATCATAAAACGCAAGCAGAATTTTTCTTTACCTGTTTTTTGTTTTGTAAAACACGTTCAAACAATTTAATACATTAATTAATTATAATATTGTTGCGTGCATACAGGTTCGTAATAAGACTGATAATAGTTCATAAATGATTGTCATTGCACTCAAATCCGATGATAGCTTAATTAAATTTACTTTATCAACAGAAACATTTCAAAGTTCTGGAATTTTCCACAGAAATACTCATACAAGTGTTTAGAATACCACTAAGTATAATCAGTAGTTATGCTTCAATCTAATAAGAACGTTAAACACAAAGCAATGCAAAACGCATCTTAAGAGAAAGTTAACTCAGAAATATCTCTGATTTTGCGCTGGACTAACAAGTGGCAACAATAACAACTTATATAGTATAAATAATGTCATAAAAATAGTGTGGTGTAATGAGATTATTACTTTGAAACCGATGTTTCGAATTGATGCCCAAGAAGAACCAATCTTTCCCATTCTGCTTCATTGCATATCTTTAAAAAAAAAAATTTAAAAAAAATCATCCAATTAATTTCCTTTATCTATTTTTTTAAATGCAAAAAGTTTGTTTTATACAGCTGTGAAAATGTCGGAAGTTTGTGAACCGATATTTTTTAGATATGAAATTTTAAAATTAATGGGAGTCTAAAAAGTCTATAAAATGTGAACGATTTTCAAAAATTTTCCCAAAATATTTTTAAAAAAATTACGCTAAAAATTTCGTTTAATTTTTTTTCCTCCATAGTGTATGTACAAATTTGTGTTATGGTGCAAACTATAATATTCTGATATTCTCAGTTTATTTGTTAATATTTGCAAAATATCGTTTAAGCTTTAAATTTGAAAAGAAATCTAATCCTCTAAAAATCAAAAGCGTGACACCACATCCACAAGCAGCGTATGTGCAATGTTTGAGTTCTATATCTTATCGGGAAGCAGTTTAAAAATCCATGACCATCTTTTAACCATAGCGACAAGCACCAAGAGTGAACTAAATAACAGCTTATAATAATAATTAAAAAGCATATATTTTTCAAGAACCATTACGAAAGTTCAGGCACCAGTTGCGAAAGTACAGATTACAAAATTAACAACAGTAAACAACGTTACAAATGTTTAAATAGTATTAGAAATCGGCCAATTCGGAGATGCGATTGTTCACAGAGGCTTAAGTATAAAAGGAAGGAAGATGGCAGTCTTCTGAACAGGTCCTAAAGAAGAAAAATTTTCATGTCTCCTTTTTCTCCTCTTGCTAACGACAGCTGTGAGAAGGAGCGTTGCATGTGAACGGGGCTTCAGAGGGTTAAATTGCTATTCTCTCAGATTTTACTCAGCATACGTCCCCAAGTATAACCAGATTTTCAAATAAAACTATTCTTACAGTTATTTCAACTAAGTCTATATATAATGAAACTTACCTGCCAACTGAACAGTTCACACATCAAAACTATTATTTATTTGGTCCCTTTACATACAATACAAACAATGTGAAATATACACCAGAATCCAGAAATAGAATTTAAATACTATCTAATGATATTAAGCTGCACAGAAAAACTTATAAAGTGAGAAAATATGAGAGGGGGGGAACTCTCACGCAAGCTACACTGCATATAATTTTAACAGAAAAGTAAGCATGCAGTAGTAAATTTTGCCTACAGATAACTTTATATAAAAAAGATAATTATATGTTATTACAAATTCAAATGTAAAAATTTCTGAATTAAACAATTATTAGCAAAATAGACTTTGTCTAAGCAATGCTATAGGTATTTAAAAACTGAACTGCTGCCACCTAAACAAATCCAAAAGAGACTCAGATTACAATACAGCAAACAGGGAGGGAGTTTTTTAAAAGATATACAAGCCATCCAGCTGAAAGTCACACTGTAAGTTATTCAGAAGCAAAAGAACAAAATATTTTGAAATCCAAGAGCAAAATAATTTGAAAATAAAAAACATTTATCTTTGCAAATGTTCATCCTGCCTAATAATTTATAAGAGCTCAGGCTTTCACGTAATAAGAAATCAGCATACTTGTATAAAATTTTATATCTGTGTGTATTTGAATAAATGCCAAGAACAAGTTATATAAAAAGCTATATTTCTTACAAAATTTCTGAATATGCACAAATATACTTACTGTCAGCACATTCTTATAATATTCGATTTTTGCTCTAACTGGAAAGGGTTTATTTCGGAAGTCTCGTTGACAACCAGCGATTTGTTGCTGCATTCCATCACTGAAAATCACCATATTTTAAATAAAAGTTCATGTATTAAATAACAATAAAGAAAAAGGGTTTGTGAAATAAATGTTACCTCTGGTGATCAAAAGCTTTAGTGCCATCATTATACATTGCCATGATGTAAGGATTATTACCCTTTATAGAAAAGAAATTAAAAATTTTGTATGATGCAATAAATATTATTTCAGCAAATAAATATTTTACATGAATATAAAATAGAAGTTTTAGTAATAAGAAATAAATAAGAGTAAAGAATTTTATACCATAACAAAATATTTAACAAATAAATTTAAGATAAAAGTGTAATATACTTTTATCTAAAAATTATATATATAATTGTACTTTTAAAAATTTTCATTCCAAGCTTCATTGCAAAACATTTGTGAAGAATAAAGAATAAACTTATCTTGATTACAGGAATAAATTTTGTTTAACCCCTAATGGCAAATCAAATAGATTCTCCAGAAATGAAATAACATATTCTGCCCTTTAATCACTGGATATAATTACAAGTATAAAGATAATATATATTTAACTGAAAAGCATGTATAACTTTATTTTCATTTAAAGTATTTTGCACTATTTATCACACTGTTTGAGTGGCAGGCCACTCAAACAGCAAAATGAAATTCTGTTATTTTTCTAGACGAGTTTTTAAAAAATTCCAGTCTAGCCACATAATGCACATTGGCCGAGATGAGGGTAAAATATAATTATGGTGCCATTTGAAAACTCAAAATTTGCTACTTAACTACGACTGATTTAAAAAAAAAAAAAAAAAAAGCTTTTGAACCCCCAAAGCATTATTAATAGCCCATTTTCAAATTTTGCTTACATATGCTGTCCCAAAAGAAAAAGAAAATTCAAGATAAATTAATATTTTAAGTTTAATTTCAGCAAAGCATTGCATCAAATAATTATAAATATAACAACTTAAAATATAAAAAACATCAACTGAAAATTTTAAATAAAAATTTAGCAAATCATTAAAAATAATTCGTCTTTCGCTTCATGTCAAGTGTTACCTTGAGATTATTTTACTCCCAATTAGTTAGTAAATCTACCTAAAGGGGGGGGGCAGTACATACTCAAAGAAGTCAAACTTACCTTGACTAGTCTATTTGTGTCACTGAATACGTACTGCCCCTTTTAGACAGATTTACAAACTAATTTTGAGCAAAATCATCTCAAGATAACAAACTTGACATGAAGTAAGACAAATTATTTCACTTTTTATTTGTTACAGAAAAAAAATTCTGTAATTAATTTTATAATGAATATAAACACATTTATAATAATTAAACATCTTTATTTAAAATAGGTTACAAAACAGAGGTTTAATAACTTGAAAGGAAAAGGTATTTTTGCCTTAAATCACACATTTTAAGACTTATATCTAAAAAAATTCAATTTTTTTTAATATTACGAATTGCAGAAATATATAGTCATCTTTATGCAATGCATTGCTGAAATTAAACTTTAAACATAATTTATCTTGAATCTTCTTTTTTTTTCTGGTACAGCATATGTAAGCAAAATTTCAAAATGGGCCTAATATAACTATAATAGGAGTCGATCTCCTCAGCAACTTTCAAATTAAGTTTTCACCACACTAAGAAAACTTGCTACACAGTATTTACATGCTGAACCAACATTCTTCAACAATCAATTGCATTACAAAATTAATTAAGTCCAAATAAATAATGTTTTTAATTACATGAAAAGAGTATATAATACCAGAAGCAATTGTCACTGCATCTGAAATATTTGCAGTCACTGATACTGAAACACATAACAAAATGTCAGCACAAACATAATTTGTTAAAAGTGTAATTTAAAAATTAATTTTACATGCATAAAAACATATGCAAAAGAAATTAAATACTCACAATTCATATTATCTAAGTAATAAACAAAATTAGAAATGAAATACATTGATTTTTTCAATGCCAAGTATAAACTTTTAAACACTGGATTTTTTCCACCATTAATTGTGATAAAATTACATCAAGAAAAACAGCTTTATTGTTTTAAAAAGTATTACAAATAAATCCTGGAATTCAAGTTATTGTTTACTAAATGGCAATGGTGGAGCAGTTGCACCTATCCTATCAAATTATATAACTGCAGAACAATCAATCACCTTTGTAATATTAACACAGTTGCTAAATTCTGAAAGGTTGAAAAAGCACTTTAATACTTTCGATGAAAACTTTTAACATAACCATATATAATACAAAAGAAATCTAATTTTTGATTACAGTTGAAGAAAAAAAAGAAAGGAATATTTAAATAAAACATTATACACAAAATTCTAAGAAAAATTAACACAAAACTAGATTTGTTGTTTTATTTCTTCAATTCGCATGTCACTTGAAAAAACATCCGTTTACTCCAAAACATTAATTTGTGCTTGTGTTTTTTTTTCCCTTTTTTTTAAAGCTTCACATAGCTAGCTTTCTGTCTTCAAGTGCTTGATGATATGCACCATGAGCAGATCTGCCATATCTTAACATATCAGGCGGAGTTATATCAGTAGTTAAGTTATCAGGAGTCATCACACTTCCAATTACTTTTATTACATCATAAATAGTTCCCACTGCTATTAAAGAATATCCCTGAAGGTTTACCCACCAACACAACATTTTAACTGAGAACAACTTTTTATTGTGGCATTGCCATGTGATAAAACTATTAATTTTACACCATTCCAAAATTCTTCAAAATCTAAATTATTAATCAAGTCCCTATAAAAAAGATCAAGTTGCACTGCAGCAAAAGCATCAAAAGCCATACAATTAGTGATGGCAAGTACCCTTACTTCTGAATAACAATTCTTTAAACTGCACTTCTGATTTATAAGCAACTGTGGAATTTATCCATTCACTTTCATACAGTATATGCAGCAACCTCTATATCCTTTGCCCACATAAAAATTCATTAGACATTATCATTAAATAATGAGCTTAGGAATTATGAATAATGAACTATTTGACTGAGCTATCTTAAATAGGCTTCTTTTAACTATTTTTGATGCAAGCTTAACCAAAAAGGTTCAGCACAGAGTTCTGAATTCTCTTTTCTTTACATCAGACACTCCAATTTTAGCTGAACTCCCACCAGCAGCAATATCCACATCTTCAACATTTCATGAGTTTTTGCTTCTCATAGTAAATCACTTTTGACAAATTTTGAGAAAAAATGATTTAGTGTACTATTCAAAAAACAGTACAGAAAGGGATACATATAATCAGCTGTCTGAAAATATTTTAGAAATGATGTAAAACTACTGCAACAAAAATAATAATAATAAAAAAATTTTTTTTTTGCCAAAACAATAAAACTTATTTTTACCAGCTTGTTTTAGTCTTTGACAATTCAGATAATTCCATACAGTTTTTTCACATGAGAAAAAATATCAATAGCTATCTCAGCAACAGCTATGTTTTCACAACATCTTATTTCATAAAATTTTAACACAAAAGCCATACAATTAGTGATGGCAATATAATCTGCTCATCAAGCAGGACTATGTTTAGATACTCTATGCATATCTTTTATGTATTTAGATTTCATTCAGCAGTTCTATGCCTATCTCTAAAGACACCATGAACAATATGCAAACCACAGGATACAATATCTAACATATGACAGTCATTATTATTATTAGTTAAATTTTCTTTCAGATTTCTGCAGAATTTAAGTTTGACATTTGGTCTATTCAAGGATACTTGAAACAATTTCTTTTTACCTAGTTCTGAGATTCATTCATGGACACTGAATAAATTAGAAGCAATGCTTATTAAAAACACAGAAGCTCACAGTTCACCTAGGATTTATACCAATTTTTATATTAGAAATTAACACTTTCACATATTTCCTCAGCAAAAATACTTACCCTGCCATCATTATCAAATGAGTCAAAGAAAACTCCTAATCCAACCCAGTGATCATTACTACCAAATACAGGTCCTTCCACTCCTTTATTTTCTGTGTACCAAAATGCCTAAAGAAATTCAAAATAGAAATTTAAAGTAAAGAAATACTTTACTGAAATTATACAACATATAATACAGCATTTTAAAGATTTTAGATTTTTTTTTCCAAGTGGAAAAATATTTAAAGTAAAATGATTAACAAACATATTAGAAATAAGTAATTTTTAGTTTCATATGATAAAATAAAAATACAAAAATGAATTAGAACAAAGTTACCAACAGATCTAATTAACCAAGAAATAGGAATTTTTAATCCCAGACAGTACAATTTTCCTTAAATTGGATCCTTATATTTTCTACCATTATGTTCCACACATGGACAGTTGGGTTGTTAACACCATTAGCAGCTTATAAAAACCGTTAGACTTGCAATTTTGGATTTATTAAATATTTCTCCATATTTTATTCATTTATTATAATTTTTAACATCAGAAAAACATACAAAAGAGGCTATTTTTCAGAACATATTCTTATTCACCATCTAAGTAACAAAGTTTGTAGCTGGCATTCAATACCTGAAAAAATTTTGGATAAACATATCAACACATTAACTACACTGCTGGCCAGTAAAATTGCAACATCAGGATGATCTGACGAACGTCAAAATCGCATGAAAGGAAGGAGTTGGGATATGCAAATGATTAATATTTCAGGGCATTTAGATGATGCAGGAGAGAGAAATGACATCTGAAGCACTGCATAAATGGTTTCATACAGAAAGTGCTCTTTCTAAGGTTAGAGTCTGCTTTGAATATCATGTTAACCCTTGAATAAAAATCGGAAATACTTATCAGCAAGTTTTGAAATTCAATAGAGGCAGGATTGTTGCCTATCGAAAGTGTAGATTATCGTTCTGTGATATTGCCAGTCACACTGGTCAACATCCAACTATTATCATGCGAATATGAAATCAATGGATTGCTAAGGATCATACTGAACGGCATGTAGGATCTCAACTCCCTCCCATGACTAATGCCAGAAAAGATGGACATAATGTGAGGTCAACCCTGCAAAACCGTATGACCACATCATGGACCATAAGTTAGGAAATGGACATGTTTATAGCAAGCCCAGTATCAGCTTGTAAGGTGCGTCAACATTTGAAGCAGCGTGGACTACTAGCAGAGTGACAAATACTCCGTCTTCCCTTGACAATGCAGCACAGAGAAAGACGGCAACTCTGGTGTGCCAAATGACAAAGTTGGATACAAGAGTGGCACAATGTCACCTTTTGAAATGAGCCCTGGTCCTACGTGCAGTATTCCGATGACCGCATACATGTCTGGAGTGTCCGAAGAGATCACACATTGCCTGCTTGCATTGGATATCAGCACAGGGGCCCTGTACCTGGTGTGACGGTTTCATCACACCTGATGCACATAGTGTGATGGTTTGGGCAGTCATTGGGTACACGACATGCACATCTTTAATTTGGATCGACGGTAATTTGAATGCAGATGGGTACATTTCCGACATCTTATGTCCAATGGTTGTGCCCTATCTTTGAGGCCCCCAAATGCCATGTTCCAACAAGATAATGAATATGTTACATGTCCTGTTCTGACCTTCTTTGATACACAAGACAGGAATAAGTATAAGAGGCACCATATCATTGCTATGAGCAAAAATGATATTGCCCCAGTGTACTACTTTTCCATATTTATTGAGAATTAAACAAAGTGACATGCAATCATCATACAGATGTTATACATTTGGATATACAGAGCTGCATATTGTTACATTTGGTGATGGTAATGTTCATAGGTAGGTGAGATACAATAAAGTTTATAATAATAAATAGATACAATATCATGGTATGGAGGTAAAGCACATATATGAATCAAGACTGAAGGCATGTTAGTAGTGTGTGTTTGGTGAAGATAACAATGGCACTCTGAAATTATTGCAGAACGAGAGGATTGAAGATTAAGGGTGGCACATATTGACTCCTTGTCTTGTGGAGGTAGTTGATGATGTTCTAATCTGACTAAATGTTTTTCGGTGCTTGATTAGAAATCGCCTGAATTCTAGACATGGGTTGCCTGACTGACAGATATGATGAACAGACATTGGACAGTTGAAGATGTAGTGCTCTGTCCTTAATACACAGGATATTTGACTGCTGCCCTGGCCTGCACGATCTCCAGATCTCTCACCCATTGAAAACTTCTGGTCATGGGTTGCTGGGAGACTGGTCCACCATCCCTCTCCAGCTAATATTGTTGATGAAGTGTGGCATAGACTAGAAGCAGCATGAAATGAATTGCCCATTTCTACCATCCATGCCTGATGGGGTAAGGGCTGTTTAGCTGTCAATGGTGGCAGCTATTTCTACTAATTTCGCACCTTCGTAAACCTCCAAAATACTTAAAAATTTAATCATTTTGATTCATGCCATATTAAGTGCAATAAATATCTTTTGCAATTTTAATGGCCAGCAGTGAATAAAAACTCAAAATAAATTTTAAGAAACAAGGAAATTTATACTCAGAAGCAATGATTTATCTAAAATGAAAAATTTACAGAAATAAAACACTGATGTATATATAAAATGCTAATAATTTCAGTAAATAAGTAAATTCACTTCTTCAATCAAGATATACTTTAAACAGTAAAGTTTAAAAGGTTTATTTACACGTAAAAGTAAATTAGCGTTTAGCAGTAAAGATGAATTTTCTAAAATAATCAAACTTTGTTTATATTGAAAGATTAGTGTGAATTACAGGCACTTGTGGATTATCTTAATTCCGACATAACACTTCAATACTTCATAAAACATAACTGTCCTGTAGCATTTTATTAATTCATATAACAAACTCTACAAATGGACTTTGCTTTAAACTGCAATTTTGTGAAAGTTTATATATGACATTTAAAATTGTTCTTTAAAAAAATTCTCCCACTAGTACATTCTAATTTACATATAAATCCTGACTATTAAAGAGAGATTCAATATCACTGCTATGGCTGAAATTTTTCCAAACTAAATAGACTCTCATTGTGTTGGTTGTCTGAAAGGCGGAATCCACTTTATCCAATTTGTGCATAAGAAAATAATAAGCGAATTGGAGTTGAAAGCTATTGTACTGCAGATTATACACACCAATTATTCCAGTCAAGACTGGTCGCACATCTATACATATATATATACACATACATATATGTAATGATTTTGAATGCACAGTCGAAGCCTGAAACTCTTAATAGCTTTCAATATCCACCAGGGCTGTGGTTTAGGCATACAGATGAAGATAATGACTTGGATTTCTTTAAATCTCCAATCTTTATTCTCACATATATCTAATTAATTTGGCAGACATTTATTCAGTCATAATTAAATATGACAAATTTCTATGCACATTGGTTTTTTTAATCCTCAGATGTAGGCATTTGAGATGATGCAAAGTGGTGCGAGAATGATAAAGCAGCAGTTAGGGAAGGGAAGAAGAATGATGCAATTAACTCGCCAACGGTATTTATACTAAATCTGAGGTATAGGTAGAGCTAGTCTGATTGGTTAATTTGATGTTGTTACATAACATATAAGATTCTCAAAATTAAGAGAACAGATAAATTTTGGGGGAGATCACTAAGTCTACTAGACTCGTTAATTTTGAGGTCCCCAATTATTTTTAAAGCAGCTATCATATTTTCTTATTTATATATGGATGGATCCTGCCTTTCACAAGATGGAAATGTGATGAGTTGGTGTCTTCTCTGACTTGTTTGCATTCTATTTGTCCCTTGGTTTCTGTACCACACCGTTTGGTGGAGACCATTAGATTAGCATCTCAACAACTGATTTCTATGTGTGAGAGTTTTGATAATGCTGCTATTTTGTCAGACTAAGTTCGCAATTCAGGCCATCATCTCTTCGAAACCTGCCAACTCTCAAAGAATTAAAGGCTGTATATCTAACACAAGTATACTGCAAACCTTACATAAGAGCTATTTTGTGGTGGGTTCCAGCTCACAGTAGAATATATGGTAAAGAAATGGCTGATTTTTTTTTCAGCTAAAAATGTAACAAAAATTCTACAGATTCCATGGAATCCTATACCTTATTCTACTATAGTGAGACTAATAAAAGATTGCTTTCGATCCAGGCAAACAGATCAAATTAAGAAAAAGCTTTGGAAGAAATATCTTTTAACGGTTTCAGCTATCCTTAGAGGAACTGCTATTGTAGCTTTTTGGTTCGAGACCAGGCATGACTGCCGTGCAGAACATTTATTTAACATCTTTTCACCTGCGTATTATGCAAGAAAGAGAGACATTGTTATGCATGCTTCTCATCTCAAAGAATGCCCTGAAGCAAATGGACATTCACATGATAGATACTGACAGGCCAGAGAGAGACTTCAAAATCTTCAGTCAGTTCATGTGTTGTCTTTTGACAAGTTGTAATTTTGCATTCTAATCTTTTTCATGCTGTTTTTGCTTCTCGTCATGCGTTTTGTGTTGTGTGTGCTTGTCACACTCTAGTCAATAAATATATGTCCAAGTGCCCCTGCTAAAAAAATTTAAAAAAATACACATAAATGTTAAGAACTCACAAATCCATCAGCTCCAAGTCTTCCTCTTCCATTTACTCTGAAAACTACTTCTACTTGCCACCAATCAAAGTTAGTCTTATTTTTTGTCCATATAGAACCTTAAAAGAAATTTGCACTTAAATATATTAAAATAAAATAAAAAAGAACATACCAAATCTAGAGTTTTATAAAAGATACAAACAATTCAAAATTTAGGGTAATATAACTAAAATGAAAATCCACACAGCTTTAAAATCAAACAGGCCCACCAATTACTAGACACTAAAGTATAAGATATTTGAGATTAAAAAAAAATATCCAAAGGATATCAGTTTTTGAATGAGATCATTATTCTACCTGTAATTAGGTATGTTAAGAAAATTATTTTCACAAAACATTTTAATGAACATAATCTTTTATGACATGTGGTTAAATTTAATAATATAACGACATCAAGTATCTCAAACACCAATCCTGCTTTTATTTAGTAAAATACTAAGCATAGGTCACCAAAAAATTAAACTGAAAAGAAAATGCTAACGAAACTCTTTCCTTGTATTATATAGCACTTAATATAATTACACATTTAAATGTATCATCCCAATACAAGAACAGTAGAAAAATATTTAAACAAAATTGTAAATTATATTAAAGGTTTTAATTAAAAATTAAATTCAAATTTAAAATAAAATCTATTCTAAAATATAATATGGTACATTAACACAAAAACTACATTTAAAAGCCTATAGTACTTTAAAAAAAAAATGCTGCAACTACATATAAAACACATCTCAGGTAATTTTACAAATTTGAAAACAAATACTTTCTCATATTTTGCAACTATATTTTGTTAAATGTAATTTATTTTTATTCCAAATGGGCAATTATAAGCTCAGAAGGGCTATTAATTTCATTTTGGCATTTTACGTTGGTTCACTATAAAAGTCTGAATCATTTTTTAAATTATTGTTCCCAAATATTAGAGCCCTGTATTATATTTAAAGAAATTAAATAATGAAGAATCTGCATGAATGTATACAAGTTTTTCATATTATGAAAAAACAACTGTATCTAGAGACATCAAATTTTGAACAATATAATCCTCCATTTGTATATGGGTATTTGGAAGGTCAAATTTGAAATTTCGAATTTTTAAAATCTATTTAATACTTTGTAAAGCTTAAACTGAATGATTTCAAAGCATTCCATTAAGATTGCATGCATCTTCAAGCATGGATATTTTAAGCACGAGGTTTCTTTTTTTTCTGTGATATTGCTGTGAATTTTATGTTTAAGTGCAAAGAATACAATATTTAATAAATAAAGTAACACATAAAACGTTAAAGAATACACCTCTTTGAGCATAATACGAAAGCTGAAAGCTTTTAGATTTTTTTTAACAAATTTTTATTCATTTTACTAAATTTACTTAGTTTATAAAAAACTATCGGCTAATCTTTGGAATATGGTAACAGTTTGGCAACATTTTGGTAAGACGATAAAGGTTACTAGCTACGACTTTAGTAGTGTACATGGATATAGTCAAGAGTGCGCACAATGCCATTTTTGTGAAATTCTGGGATGTTTTTTTAAGTGAAAATAGGTCGACGTGTACATGGATGATACCGTGTATGTGCAATTTGTAAAAAACGCTGCAAGCAGTGGGCGATTCTGCACTTTGTCCGAAATTCGCACCTAATCTTCGTCTTGATTAAGCACTTTTGTTCCATAACAGTTCTAGCATATGCGTAAAAACAAAATGGCATCCAAACAAAAAATATTTTTTTTTGTGATATTGCTGTAATTTTATGGTTTAAGTGCAAATAACAGGATATTCAATAATTAGGTAATGCATAAAACGTTAAAAAAAACACCTCTTTGGGCATAATCTAAAAGCTTTTTGTGATATTGCTGTGAATTTTATGTTTAAGTGCAAAGAATACAATATTTAATAAATAAAGTAACACATAAAACGTTAAAGAATACACCTCTTTGAGCATAATACAAAAGCTGAAAGCTTTCAGATTTTTTTTAACAAATTTTTATTCCTTTTACTAAATTTACTTAGTTTATAAAAAACGGTACTTTTCCGCTTTGCCGGCGCAAGCGATAAAGTCGCCAATAATGGTACAACCGATGCCAAACGGAATATTCTCGCTGCTAACCTTTACGCCTCATTCAGATAGTTCAGTTTTGTCTAAGGCCATTTTCGGCAATTAAATCAATTAGGATGCAATCACAGCGCTTACCCGAAGCCGAAAATATAGAAAGGTAAAGTCAAGGGTTAAATTCATCAATTCTAATGAGAATGCATTAGCGAAGTAAAGCACTGCAGTTTACATAATTTCTGAGTAAGCTATTCGTACAAATTGAATAATTCTTGCATTTAAACTTATATTCCAAATTATGATTTAACTTGAAATTAATGTAGATAATAACTGAGAGAATTATATTTTTATAGCGTAGTTTACGTGAGATGTGATCACTTGGCATCGCGTGATACGAACCGGCTAATCAGGATGTTGAACCATGATAGCGTAGTAAATTCTTAAATTAATGTCATTTTACAAATTTATAGTCTTTATTTATTAGTTTTATACAAAATTTTAAACCATATTAATATGTTTATGCCTTCAAAATAAAAAATTATTAGAACTAACATTTTTTGAATATTCTTTGTGTGTATAATGTATGTTGTCGCCAATAAAGTCTGCTTGGCGAGATTTGCGCCGGCGAAACGGAAAAGTACCTAAAAAACTATCGGCTAATCTTTGGAATATAGTAACAGTTTGGCGACATTTTGGTAAGACGATAAAGGTTACTAGCTAGGACTTTAGCAGTGTACATGGATAAAGTCAAGAGTGTGCACAATGCCATTTTTGTGCAATTCTGGGAATTTTTTAAAGTGAAAATA